ATCTGTTCAATATTGATCCCGTATTGATTTAGGTGAAATTGAAATGTATCTTTTATATTATTTATCATATATATCACAGTTGTAAGGTGAAATTTTAAAGAAAGAAAAAAAGTGAAACATTGTTATTGATCATTTAACTGCAAAAAAAAAAAATGAACCCCGCAAAGGTTCTTTTAAGAATTTGGAGAATTTTAACTATTGTACATTCATAGAGCTATATGCATGTAGTAGAAGGGCTTGTTTAAGTTTGGAAGCATCACGGGGTGCGAAAAGTGTGAAGCCTGACATGACTCAAACCCAGGACCCTCAAAATACTGTTCCACAGTTGTACCGACTGGGCTGCCCAGCTGCTTACACATTTTCTTCCCAAATAAGTGAACAGTTCTATGTTATGGATACAACATGGCTTGGTTGTTAAAACACAGATGAGCCTGCAACTTTGAACACTCCATTGTAAGCTTGAGCCTTATATGCAAATTGGCATGGACTTGCCCATCTTAAAATTTGGATTAAACCATTTTTTTAGGAAAAATTACAAAATAAGCACTGACTGAAAGCGAACCGGTGGAGGTCATTGCCAGGTGTGCCAATTGATCATGCCCTTTGATCTTGATCAGCACTGGTTGCATGGGTATATTCAGTTACCTTCAGGATGCTAAGGGTTAAATAATATACATGTAACGAAGCAGCCAGCTGGTGTAAAGCCTGGCCAGACTGCTAGGATGTGCAGACTGGCTTGGTGTGTGCCATTGGCGGTGCAATATAGTGCAATAATAGGCTTAATTCATTTATAATATTTTGATCTCTTTGAATTAACCCGAGTATTTTACAATCTAAAATTGTTTAGTGCAAACCTTTATAGCTTTTTGAACACATTAAACATTTTTATATATTTTCGTTTTACATAAAAGTGATTTTACATGAAAGTGTAATGTAAATGGAGTTTGTAATATTGCTCATTTACCTTTTCTAGTTTACGAGGCTTGTAATTGGATTTGGGTAAATGGCTGTACTAGCATTCAAATGACTGTAAAATTCTATGTCATTAGGGAAGTTTTTTTCCACTGAAAGTTTAATAAAATGTGAAGTAGCTCTTTTTAACTCCTTCTTAATGGTAATTTAGAATTATCTATTTCTTGGGCAAATTGTTTTGTGGCACTATTTTGTAGATTTCATTGACTTAATGTTGGATAAAAGTGGTTAAAACAGATATTTGAATTTTCAAATTTTCTTGTGTTTGTTGGGACTGTCAAATAGTTAACCTTTTGATACATAAGGCAAAATAGAAGTAATTGTCTAATTAAGGACAAATTATTTCACTGCATACATTCAGATCTGTTCTATAGACCACCTTCTAATAAAGATCACCCTGTAAATAAAGGCCATTCCTTGACAACCCTTCATTGGTTAGCGTGAACATAGTAACCTCCAAATCAAAAACCATTCTTCTACAAAGGCCTTGCTCGGTCTCTACTGTGGATAGCCTTTGGTCACAGGTGTGACTGTATAAGTACATATGATTAAAACCATTGACTATTGGAATGATTTAAATGTCTTATAATTTGTTAAAAATTATGAGCTTTGGATTGAAAGAATGCTTAAGTATTAACATTTATATTATAATAAGCAAAGTTAGTTTAAAGCTTGGTTTTGTTGAAACTGTCCAAATTTAACTGAAATGTCAATGTCTAAAGCTTATTGTTTTAAATTTTAAATAAAAAAGAAATCTGTAACAATGATTCTTTAAAAAAACAAAACTGAAAGCCGTATTTTTTAGGATTTCATAATTTACGTATCATCGCTTGCTTTGAAAAAGGGGAAGAATAGCTTTGATTATTTCATAAAAGCCCACTTAGTGTAAAACAAAAAGCGTACAAAACGTTCTATAGACTGGTAGATCACTATCATGATAACCATCGTGGAACATGTCAGTTCCTACACGAGCGTCTGCAAAACGTATTTACAAGCTTGGCCTCATTTGAAAAGGGGTTGATCATGGTGATAAAAAAAGACGGCTTTGTTGTGTTAGTTCAAGGATTTTTTCCTGTAGTTTGTTAAAATTGTATGGTAAAATACTTAGTTTTGAATGAATCAGTGTAAAAGATAAATTTGTGGTATGTTAATTGAAACGTTCATTTTCGTTTTGGGTTTTTCCTAATTTGAGAGAGGGCGTGTGTTTTGACAGTTTGTATTCAGCGGTGTGTTAATTCATGGCTGTTTGAAAAATGTTTAATTGTTGAAAATCTGTTAATCATTTGAGTGTTGGCAGTGAAAGTGCGCCTTATGTTAATGTCACTGGTATAAAACCTGGCTAGCCTTCTTGCAAAATGGTACCAGCCTGACCATGCTGTAGTACCAATAGCGTTTACTCTGGTCGCAAATTTCTTAAAGCCAAGTTTGCATGATTGTCTGATTTATTACTTTTAGCCAAATTATTAAAATTTTGAGCAAATGGTTAAAATGGCTAATTGCAGAGTAAGTCCTGTACCAGTGGCTGCATAAATTTAGTCTAATGGCCTGTACCAAATTCAAAACAGCTAAAGTTTATTAAAATAAGGAAGAGCTCAAGCTGAAGGTAATAAGTGTTGTTTGTATAACTGGTAATTAAATAATCTGTAATTTCTTTTGTTGAGGTCCTGGCCTGTATTAGATAGCTAGGTACATTAATATTACCAATTTTATCTTTAAGATCTTTATGTAACTGCAAAGAACTGCATCCCCTTGGATTCCTTGGGATTTGTTTTTCATTGGCAGAGTTTTGAGACAAAGAGTTTTTACCTTTATAATGTACATGTTAAAGCACTGTGGTAGGACTTTTTTATTCGTGATAAATACATTGTATATATAAAGAGATTGGCTTTATTTGCACAAATTTTGGAAATGATTTGAATTTCTTTGTGAAGACAAATACAATTTGCATAATTTTATGTGATCCTAACATAAAAGGAAAATATTGTTGATATTTCAAACTTTTGAGAAATAATTTACATATATGCGATATACACATGTAAATGAAAGGGTCAGTGATATTTGAAAATTTGCTGAAAAATTTACTCGAGCATCATTAGGGCAATAAACCTGACTTGTCTAAGTGCCGTGTGCCGATTTATATGGACCGAAGTGTTGACCAAATCTAACTTTATATACCCTGAATAATACAGTGTTTGAAAGAGAAAGGCGGCTTATCAAAATTTGATGTGTATTCAATGATAAAATTGATTCCAATTTGAGAGTTTGATACACTTTCGGACTTTTAGTAAGAGTGTTAGAGAGTGATTTGAAAATTATACTTACTGCGTCGTTAAGGGACGTGAAATTAAAACAGAGGAAATGCTTAATTTACACATTTAATATTTATTGTACGGAGAGTGTTTGTATTAAGGTGTTGAGGAGATGTATGATTTGCTTATTAAGAAATAAGTCGTGAAGTATTTAATTAAGATCGGTCAAGACATGTTGATTGGGACATAAATTGTGAAATATATGTATTCTGATTTGCGGACAAAATGTATAGTAGTTCAAGATTCAACAGGCATTCGCAGGATGTAAGAAATTTTGTTGTTGTTGTTTTTTATTTTCATTAGGAATATTTTGTTGCTAAAAGATATTAAGATAGAATATTTAATTGATTGTGCTCAATGCTATTTTGTTTCCATGTATGTTGATAAATTAATGTATAACAAGATATGAATGGTAAAATGATAAGAATGAAAAAAACTATTTTAAGTAAGCAGGGGCTTGTAATAGTTTTAATAGAATAGTATTTGGTGTACAGACAATGGATGAGGGTCTTGGCGACATAGAAAGAAATTTGGTTACAGCCAATTGCTTAACAAAGTCAACAAGAATTATTGCAGTTTCCATTGTTTTTTTTTTTATCGGAAGAACCTTTGCATCAAGGATATAATTCATATTGACTATTGTTTCATCAATGCCTTGCGGAATAAGATGAACAAGAATTATTGCTTTTTTTACTGGAAGTGTCTTGACATGATAAAATGATTCAAGCATAATCGTTATAGTTATTAGAGTTGCAAAAAGAATACCACTTATCCACGGTGTATGACGATACGAAATTAATATCTGCCCCTGTAATCAACCAGTCAGTAGATCGTAATCAGCAAATTATTGTTAATAATGGTGTACCGGGTTCAAATTAAAGGAATTCGATCATTGTAAAATCTACAAGGCAAAACAAGCTATCTGACCTTGGTCATATTGACGAATATTAATAAGTCGGTATGAAAATTAAGTGTTTGTTGAATTGATTTAAGATGTATTGATATTTTTTTATATATATCAATTTTGTCTATGTTAACTATTTGTTATAATCCATTTTTGTGATTGGTTTCAAGTGTAGTATTTTGGACTGGTATATACATGTACCGGTTTTCAGTATACCGGTAATCTCGTAAAAGATAAAATCATCCAAAATGTAGTTTTTATAGTGATTTGAAAAATAAACATACAATTTTTTTTGGATGGTATTTTAAAAGGATATTTAAGGGTCAGTAATGGCAAGAAGGTCTTTAACAGGGGTCAGTATTTTTTCCAGTTTTAAATCTTAAAACTAAGTTGATTATTAGTTTAGCATGTTGGCAATGCATGCATTCAGTTATTGACAAGATTAGTTTTCTATAATACTTGATTTTTTTGTAAAGCTTAACCACAAAGCTCAAGTATGATTGAAAGTTTGTTGGTACATGTAGTGTATTATGGTGTATTTTGACTGGTGAATGCTAGGGACATTCAGGTTCCACCTATGCCTCCAGTGTAAAATGAGGCCAGTTTGCACCTCCAGGATGGGAAATGGTTGTTAATTATTTTTCCCACTTAGTGTCTTAGTATAAAATAAAATTCGTTCAAGACGTTCTGTAGATTGCTTTATAAGTACATGACATCGTCGAACCTGTCATATCCTACATTATCATCTGCAAAATATATAAAATTTTTGGTTCATAAAATCTGTACATATATATTCTGTATTGTTATTATTCCAGGAATACATGGCAAAGGCACGCGATTTGGAGAGAGAGTTACGGTCCTTGACAGTAGAAAAGGCCAGGGCAGAGGCAATGTTAGAAGATCTCCAGGTACGACTTGACAGACAAGATGAAAGTGTTAATAGGTTACGAAGCGAGAATGCCAATCTGAATCATGACGTCGATCAACTCATTAACGTTATAAGCACTGCCAGAACCACCGGGAAATGGGATGTAAGTGATCTGTCTGTAACAAATAAATATAATTCTATTTTGTAAAAAAATGGTTCAAAGATCTTATGGAAACCTCCGTTTCTAGAGATTTATGTATTAGTTGTCTTAAAGGTAAATAATGATAAAAGTTATTTTTATTTCGCATTTACCAGATTGAAATTTGCATTTATCCGCAAATAGTTTGGTCAAGCTTGAGTTTCAGAGGGATTCAGTCTCTTTATAAGTCTGTTTGTGTTTCTTTGTTAACCTTTTCAGTGCTAGTTGTGGTGTTGATAGACCAGTTACTGTGGTGCCATTAAAGAGAAAGCCACCTTTACAACTGACAGCCTGACCAGGCTCTAAACCATTGGTCAATTTGATTTCAATACATGCTTTTTGACAATGGTACTGAATAAAATCTACGGAACAACTAATGTGTTGTTACAGCATCAAAGAAAGACGGGTTCATTTCATATATTCAGCAGTGTAAATGATTTAAAGGCAAACATATTTATGTAAATATTCATATGAATTCAATTTTGATCCAGTAAACATGAAAAACAAATTATGACTGTATTGTTCTAATAAGGTGAATCATATATTCTGGACAAAACATTTTTTGATGGTCAATAACTAAAGCATAATGTTAGATGTTCGATTCTGAGATGATGCTTAAATCAGTATTATGTACTTTTAGATTGAAACTGTACGATTTAGAGAAATCACCCCGGAACAAGTGTTCGGATCAATGCACGAGCATTTGTCACGCATGCGAATGTCAGATGATTCCACATCACATGACCTCAGGGACTTGCGGGAACAAATTTCAAGGAAAGACGATTTGATCAGTCGACTACAGGCTGACCTAGCGCAGAGACAAAGAGCATCCTCAGACAATGTACAGAGAAGTGGCGATTTCGATACAACATCTAGTCAAAGTCAGTCAGAAAAAGACTATACCATCGTAAAATTGAAAACAGATCTCCGCCGCACAGAGCAACGTGTCGATGACCTAAATATGGAGGTAAGCCTGGTGACCTAGATATAAATTTATGCAATATGTTTGACATAGATCTGCATGGTTCACGTGTTTATTATATAAATATAGATTAGTTTTCTTGATTTGGAAAATTTGTCAAAATCGGTCTGGTTGAAGGGTGTAGTTTCATTAAATAATAAAACACCTAGTTAACAGGTTGAGGTTTGGATCAAAATTTTTCATGTCACATTTCAATTACTTTATGATTGTAGATTTATCATTCTTAGCTATTTCTGCCTATAGAATGTGATTTGTCTTTAAAAAAACATAACTGTATAGGGAGAACTGATTATTTTAAACTAAATTTTTACTCACTAGTTAACCTTCCATCTAATCATATAATTCATTTTTAGAATTCTTCCTTTTAATTCATGTTAATATGATAAATTAATGTTATTATACATAATTCTATGTTTAGCATTTATATAAAGTTTATCTCAACACTGTCACAGCCCACCTGTTCTAAGAAAGTGTTTTATAAATACACTGGCTTATCAAAAGTCTCTCTTTGGAAATTTTAAAAATGGATCATACTGGCTTTCTAATGGTTTTATTTTAGGGGTCATTATCTATTGCAAGGGTCAAAATAACAAACTACAAAGCTTTACATTTTATTGGAATATATAAGAAACAAACTGAACATAAAATAAAGGATAAATAAGTTGAATATAGCTCTCTATGATGTAATTTGAATGCAATTTATGTGCCTGGAAAAATCTAAACCTAACCTTGGAGTTATGGTTGTGACAGTGTTAAGTTTACACTTTTGACATGTTTTTTCCCCTCACTTAAAAATCATATAATATACAAGTATAGTCATTAAATTCATGTTGTGTTGTAAAACCTATGTGTGTTTACCTGTAGCACTGTACTATGTGTGCATAATATTCATGTGTATATATGTGTGTGTAATTGTGTAAAACAGGACCATTCAAATGTGAACTGAAATTCACATTGGTTAAGAATTGTTTTATAGTTCATAAATTCTCAACAAAATTGCACGAAAAATTACATGAAGCTTTTAGTAAAACTTGAAGTCTAGAAGACTTTCTAGAAGATTTCTTATCACCAGCTTAGTGCAAAATAGATGTATCTCATTTGATTTATACAACAAGTAAAAGCATTTTGTACAAAGTCTACAATAAGATAAAGACACAGTCTTGTAGTTGACAAAATTCAATTAAAAAACTTCTTGGAAATATTTATTGTTAAAAAAAAAAAAATTGGTCCTTTTTACACAACATATTCGCATATTTTGTTTTTAGCACTAACACATCTGTTTAATTCTCTCCCCTTTCTACTCACTGTGATTACTACCAGGTGGCTAATAGAGAACGAAAGATCTCATCACTTCAGAGCCAAGTCTCGGATCTCCATGCCGAGATCGCGCAAACCGAAACCGAGTATGGTTCTCAAAAACAGCTCGTTAAAATCCTTCAGGATAAGCAAAGACAGCACCAGAATGAGGTATAAGTGTATATGTAGGTTACACTGACTACACCAGAATATAGTGCACTTTTATAAAGATTTACTTTGTATTTATGTACTAAATTCTTTTATCATGGCTTTCTTTAACCATATATATAATTATGAAAGTTGATAAACAAAATTTTAATCAGTTTTAGCCAAATTAGGTTGTTTTTATTGAAAAAAATCATTAACTATAATATGAAAGGAGGTTTTGAAATTGCTGATTTAATAAACAAATCATGCTTTGAATTAAACATCTATAAGCTTGGCTTCGTGCTTAGCCATTGTTTTCTTTTTGATATTTTTGTGCCTCCTGCTATACAGTAGCTGCAACATTCAATTGTGTATCATGAAACGGCACATGTGATCACTAAAAGCTCTTGGTAAAAGTAGTGGTCTGTGTACCTAAATGGTAAATTATTTTTCCTCAGCTCTCTTAGTTAAAAACCTGCTTAAGACCGAGTTTTATGAGCCCTTGCATCCAAGGTTTTACTTTTTATAAAGTTACTAGGATATAGTTAACAAAACAGAATGGAAGTTCTTCCAGTAGTTAACAGAACAAAATGGAAGTTCTTCCTGTATGCTTGCCTTTGCCTGAAATGATAATGTACATTTTCTTAAGAAAATTGTAAATACTCATTTCAGCTTTGTTATGTGTGATTAAAAACCCATTCCATTATAAAATACATCCTATGTCAACATTATTAAGGAAATCATTTGAAGTATAAGAAAACAGAATTTTAATTACTCTTTTTTGTTAAAAAAGAAACTTGTTTATTCATTCACAGGTTCAGAAATCTGATGATGTGATTCGTCAGTTGAGAGATGAGTTAGCTAGAACCAAGGAAGACTACTCTAGAACTACTCATGATGTAAGTTGTCTCCCCTGAAATTGAAATTTCTCAGTTTTGTAAAAGAATTTTCTTCTATTTTCCTTCTTGTCAGAATATGAGATTGTAGTTACAGAATAGTCTTAACTTTCTTTTTGAGGTGTTGAAAATCTGTACAGTTGTTGGAAGTAAAATATCTATTATTACAATGCTAAGTCTAAATAATGGACTTGCAGCGCTTCTAATATTGATGGAACATCCCATTGTTTTTGTTTAGAGATATCTCAAAGAGTAATAAACAGAATAGAGTCTCATCTGACTGCATGAAAGTGCACACTGGTCTGGCTGGTTCAAATCTGGTAATAGTCAAGTCATTATCTCCCCAAATTGAAACTGAAGAAAAATATGCATACATAATTTGTGATATTTCAAAAATACCTGAAATTTTGTAGGATTTTAAAAGTAATTGAAAAAAGAGACTAAAAAACAACATTTTTATTTTGATTGTTAGCAGAATATAATAAAAGTCAGAAATTAAATTTTTTTACGAAAAATGAAATTTATTCTTATTTATTTGATTATTTTTCATTTTCTAGAAAAGAATGCAAAAAGTAAAACGATTGCTGTTAAGTTTTGCTTCATACTAATTTTATCTGCATTTTAATTTATTGTTCAGTTACGATCGTGCATCTGTCCGATCACGACTGCACTTTTACCGCCACTCCGGCTGATAAAAATACATTCCTCCGCAAACATGAATTAATGCAAGATATATCTACGGATAAAGCTACAGTTCTTTACGGCATTTTAAAATACTTCAAACATTTATTTAAACCCTGTAAAGATGTGGAGTTTACCCCCACTCCAGTGTTTGTTTACTCTAGTAAATCTGGTGGTAATGGTCGTAAAGGTTCGTGTTTGTATAGAACAGTATTTTGTCAATGGTTCTTCAAAAGAAGATTTACAGAGAAAATTATAGCAAATACTTGATAATGATGCTAATCTGGTAATGTTTGCAAATCAGTATGATATGATTTTATTAAATTCCGTTACTTACGGGACTGTTAATAAGCTTTCGTATGTTACCTGTAAGTCAATAATGCTCCTCACCACTGTGGGTTCAAATCCCATTATTGATTTGTAAAATCTTCCAAGAGAAGAAATTATGCTACTAGCCTATGGTTGCTAAACTCTTAATCTTGTACTGGATATTGAATAAATGCACAACAGGATGAGGATGGATGGATTGTGTGTGTAGAGAAGGGGGAAGGGGGTGGGGCTGTACCAGAGGTCTTCAGGTCTTTTAAGCTCAATCTTTACAGTCACTTAAACCCTCCAAAATAGTCACTAAGTATTTTTAAAGAAATATTTTGGTTGCACGTTCAACATTATCCTGTGCAATCAACTATTTTGGTAAACTGTAAGGCATAAACTTGTAACATCATATCGTTTTTAAACTTTTCACTATAAATACAGTTAATTATTTAGTAAATTTATGTTACAAATTAAAAAGTATTATTTTTATTACTAGAAAATATTTCAGAGCCCAATTATTCAAAAAACTAGTGAGAGTTTTTCAGATGTAAGAATTTGTAATATATAGATATGTTATAGGATTGCTAGATTTTTATGTTGCAAGATTTGCCTGCTTGTTAATTGAATGACTAGGTCAATTAAACTAAATTGTCAAAACCCTGCTGTAGATTATTTTGCATATTATAAAAATATTTCAATCTTTCTTTTCATTTAAAACATTTGAGATGTATGAAGGTTTTCTCACAGAAGGTCTTGTTTCTTCCTCTCTACAAAGCTCACACCAAAAATAGTTATTCTTTAAGGAGGCATAACTTTTGTTTTTTCCTAATCAAAAAAAGTAAAAGCAGAAAGCTGGAAAAAGATTGTCCATGTCTTAAAATATAACCATTTTACAGGCTATGTTCATTTTTTTTTAAAGGCATACTGAGCCTTGAAAATATAAATTTTGCCTTCTGTAGAAAGGGAAAATATATGATAGAATTGATTTAAAACATGTGAGATATTAATCTTTTAATATGAAATAATTTACAAAAAGGTATCCAAATGTGTTTTGACTTCCATACAAAATATTAAATAACCATTAATGCACTAATTGCCACGATGCAAAAATAAGCAAAAGATGGCTTTACTATATTGTCAAAATGAGAAACATTTTGGAAACTGTAATGGGACACCAAAGATAGTAAGTTTTTGTAAAAAGTAGCATCTTTTAGACTTGATTGGCCTTTAAAAAGACAATTTAATAAACATTTTGATTTATATAAATGATCAAGGTTTTAACACTTGGGTTACCATTTCTTACTATCATAAATAATACAATTGCAATTACTATCATAAATAATACAATTGCAATTAAGAGTGTTTGATAAGAAGTGAAATAACTTGAAAGTTATTCTTTCAAGTATGTGTAATAGAGTAAATGTTTGTATGTCGGATTTAACACTTTTACAAATACTGCAATGTCGAGTAGTGAAAAAAATGGGTCATGTTTAGGCACGAAAAAATGTTACAAATATGGAGTTATCTGAAGGAAAAATTCATTTTCACTGATATCTTGACATTTGATTTATTTGATACCAACATTTGTGTATTTCGAATAGTGTGAATACGTTTTATTTCATGTATAAACATTTTGAAAAACTATAATAGAAGACTTTGACATATTGCGATAAGATTAAAAGATTTTTTATTTCCAAAATTGATTAGATTGTTTAAATCATGATGAAGTAGATCAAGCGGAAATTTGTATTTCACAAAAAGAATTTGAAACTTGATAATTTGATATATGAAATGTTGATTTTATGGCATTTTATTAAACTGACCGTTGTTTTTGTTAAAAATGTGACAGGTATTTAGCCTTGGTATTGCCATCGTCATCACTCGATTGATTTTAAATTGGCATGAAATGATTTACCGTGCTCCAATTAAAACAAAGATTTCGATACTTCATAAACTGATAATCTAATTATTGATTGTCCATTCAAAATAGCAATCCCCCAAAAGCTCGGCTATCGGTTATATCGTGATATTATATTTCATCTTAAAGTAAAATATTTGCATATGTGTACACAATGAAGCCAGTTAACTAACATCGAGTGACTTTGAATTATGATCAGGATTTTATTCTGGCGCTGAGATATTTTAAACCAAAGTTTTGAAAAAAAATTCTGCGGATATACCTGTGTTATTTTCGCTTGTGTTAAATCCCGTGTGTGTTTTTGTGTATTTTTTTTTATATATTTACAATGGATATGAAGTGAATTTGTGAATTTGGCTTTTAAAGCCTCTTTGTCAAAAAACAAAAATGACCGAGGCAAGTTTTGTTTTGTTTGATATTTAAGTTTGTTTTGTTTGGTTTGGCATATTATAATGTGATTCCATATAAAAATAGAGACAAGCAAATGATAAAATAGAGAAAAATAAAAGAAAAGAAAGAGTTTTTGAATTAACTTTTAAAGTTTTTTTGGCTGTATATTTTGACATATTACATAACTAGTTTTTTGGCAACATGTCATAGCTTTGTATGCTTAATGTATTGAGTCTAGTTTGGCTTAGGAGCTTAAGTTGGGAGATGGAAAATATAATGAAATGAAATAATTTCGATAAGAAAAAAAACACATTCTTTTAGATGTGAAATATTAATGAATTTAAAAACATGGTTATGGTTATTGAATAAGAATTGATTAAAAATATGTTTTAGTTTTACATGTATATCTCATGACATCTTGAAATGATTCTTTATTTTTTGTGAAGTTTGACTGAATTATAGATCTTCGGGTTGTGATTGTAAAGGGATATCAAATTTTAATTGAATACTTTTCATTTTAGGTATCTCACTATGAAAGGCGTATTCGCACCCTTGAGGCTGAGTTACAGGATTCTAAGGAGCAGAGAAGGCGGGCTCTGGAGGAGGTTGGTCTTATGTTCTGCTCTGTTAATGACATACAATGTTTTTTAGGCATTTTCATCCCAACAATTGTTGTTATTATTTTGAGAAAGACCTTATCTTAACCTAATGTATTGTGCCAGATCAGCTTTGATGATTGTTGTCGTTTATTGTTGTTTATTGCTGCATATACTGATCAATATTAAATCAAGATGCAAGTGGTAGAATATAAATAAACTTCTGGTCTATTTATAGATCGGGCAGCTTCAGGATAGTCTGAGGAACGGTCAAACTTCTACGAAAGATCATCATACGGTGTTGAAATCGGAACTTGCCAGACGTGATGAGACTATACAGAAGTTACGACGAGACGTCCTTAGTTTACAGGAAAAACGTGACGCGGCAGTGTCAGAGGTAATAAATGCAAACCAGTTTTTGAAAATATATACATGTAACTGTGTAATATACAGCTAAAAATCAAACAGTTTTTGCCTTTATAAGTTTTTTTATTGAGCATCTTCAGCATAACAAGAACAGTTTTCTTAAAGATTAAAAAAAAATTTAATTCAGGCTTATTTTTGCCATTATCTCGCAAGAGAATATATTTAATTGTCCCATTCATTTGATTGCAAAAGAGTTGATAGACCGTTTAAAAGCATAACAATCCATATATGCACTCAATTCTTCTTTTTTAATTGCCATTGCGCAGTTTTTGCGCCAGGTAATAAAAAAGGTTTTTAATCAATATTTTTATCGAAATTGATTTAGATTTATCTGCTTAAGTCTAATCAAAAGGCTAATTTTATTGATCGAGGCGTGTACTTTAACAATGTAAAAACTTATAAAGGCAAAATCGTGTAACATGAATTTTGATTTAGCCAGCTGTGCACTTGACAATATTATATTGCAAGATGTATGTTTAACTTTATTTAAATTTATTATTGCGAGTCTAGTTTTGACATGTGGTAATTTTATCAGTGTTGAATTCGGCTAGCCAGAGTGTTTGAAGTTACGTGCATTTTTGAGATGAAATTTTGAGTTTGTTTGTTGCATTTTGTGCCCAAATATGAATATTTTTTTTTGAGATACACTAAATGTTGCATGTTCTTGACTGTTCATATATGTAAATTGTACAATAATCTTATTTTACAGAAATATTTTTGAGTTACTGTGAATAAATTATTTTCCCTAAAAATGATGATAGTTTGGTCCAAATCAAAAGATCGGCAAGTCCATATAAGATATTTAGCATAGTAAGGGTTATATATTGAACAGCCAAAACCTGCAGCAATCGTGTATCAAAGCCTGTCTCAGAAGTTTCTTGTTAAATATTAAATATGATGTAATATTGTATATGCATGCTTATAGCTCGACCAGCAGACTAAAAATCTGCATATATCTGAGGATAAAATTAAACACCAGCAAGAGGAGGTAACTCTATTTGTTTCACAGTGTGCATTACTTCCCTTTGCACTTTTCTTTAAAAAAAAAAAGCCTCCCTGTACAAGGGGAGGTAACTCTCATTCACAATGTTTTAATTTTTCTTTTTGCACTCTTTATCATGAAAAACTTCTTCATTAAAGTGAAGATAACTCTTTGAGTTTTAAAGTTTTCTATCTCTCTTCACTCACATTCTTTTCAAAGTGGAGATAATTCTTTGACCTGGAGAACCACTTAGGATTGAGAATTTATTACCTCTCTTTATTCTCATTTCTCTTTAAAGTGGAGACAACTCTGACTAGATGATAACTAGTTAAGGTCAAAAGTAAATAATCTCCCTTTGCTCACATATTGTGCATTAACAGGCAGAAGTTACTAATGTGATTTTTTCTTGAAATTTGGTCCTCTTTGCTTTTTTCTTCGAAATTTTCTGCTATGGGCAATGGTAAAGGAATCTGTCTTTAGGCAGTATTTGGTGATAGAGTAGTCGTAAGAAAATATTAATAATCTTGATATAAACAAATTGATACAGAAATGATATATCCCATTGCCTTATTTTTTATCAGTTTTTTTTCTTAATTTTTATTTTATTCATTTATTTTTTTTATTTATTTTCTATTTATTTTGATGTCATATCTGTCTTGGTTGAGTTTGAGAAGCAATTTTTTTTCAACCTTTTTTTTAAAGCAAAGTCTTGTAAAGTTTAGTCATGTTTTATATCTCAAATTAAGAATTTATTTCCATAAATTTTTATAAAGGGTGACTGATATGTTAACTGATAAAAAATAATGTGATAAAAAATAACAGTATTTAATATTTTTATGGAAAAAAAACTTATTACAAATAATTTGCTTGAAAATTGTTTGGAGGACCAGTATACTTAGATGGAAAGGGAGAGAATTCAGTTATAAAATCTTTGTCTTAGATTTGTTAATTCCCTTTGCATTATGCCCGTAACCTATTTGTCAGCACCATCTAATTTGTGTGGAGAAGTTAGGGATTATTTGTGGAGATTAGCGAATTACTTTTACACTTTCTAGAAACACTGATACATTTAAATGCATGTATTTCAGCACCTTATATTTTACACAAAATTTGGATGAATGAAATGAAAACAAAAATATGGAATTTCCTTTTTCTTTTGTTTTTCATACCTATGCACAGTTTTTACTTGAATGTTTCCCTATACACCGATAAAACTTTTATACCTAAAGCACTTATACTTTGGTTTGGAATGCACCTTTTTTTCCCTGAATTTTTATGTAACTTTCAAATTATTTTATATTATTTTCATTATATGCAGTCAGAGATTGAAATATCATTTAACAGTTCTGTCTATACATTATTAAAAACAATGATTAATAAATAGTTAATTTCTAATTACATACTCAAACTAGTTACAAATTTTTAACGCAACTTTGTGTTTGAATGAGCTGTCATATTTAAAAAAAAGATATCCATGTCTGAAAATTTTTGCATTGCTTGGGATAATGTTTTTAGTGACAAATTATGGCAGGAAATCATCTTTTCAATGTACAAAACATGATCAAGTTCAATGTTTTAGATAGACTTTGCTTTAACATGATCATGTTCATTTTGAAACTGGTCACTGGCTCAAAGAAGTGAAAATACTCTGAAAGTTCTGATGTTTTTCCCTTTCTTTGATTTGAAAGGCACATTATGCCACGGAAACAAATAAAATTTTCATTCTTTAGAAATGGCAAACATAAGTTTTGTTACAGTAAAATAATGGTCTAAGGGCATGTTAGATGTTTATTAAACCTGAAAAAGTAACACTGAATGTGAAATTAATAGTAAAATGTAAACAAAGTAATATTTGGACTTTCATACAAAATATTTATTTATTATAAATGTACTACTTGCCAAAAAGATTTTGCCAGAAGCAAAATATGTTTCTGGTAATTGGCCAGTAAGTAACATTTTGGAAACTATAATGGGACACAAGAAATAAAAAGCTTTTAAGGAAAAAAGCATACTGGGGCATAATGGGCCTTTAAGGTTGTTGAAAGACAATAAATTTGGAGCTCTTTTTTGGCATGTGACCAGTTTTGTTTTAGCAATAGATACAAAAAGCTAAAAGTCTGCTTGCTAAATGGAATTAATTAGCAACGCACATATGCATTTTATGATAGGTCCTTCACAGCTCACTTCAAATGCTTTATTCTAGAACGTATTTATGTATTAGTTAATCGTTGTGTCATGTATACATCCATATTTATATATATATCATTTAACTTTGTGCATTTTATCATTCTTTAACCTGTACTAAAAATAGAAAGGGAACTTGTTAGCCTTTGAGCATGCTCAGGCTGATCATGTGACATAGTTGGGAATGATGTCAGTTAAGTTGCTATTTTTAACCACAATGCTATTTTTAGCTCCATAGAGTAGAAACCAGAGTTAAGTCCCTTGAAGAGGACCTCTCCAATGCAAGGAAACAAACAGACGATGCAAAAACAGAAGTATGTAGTTTCACTGTTCACCTTGGAAACCTTTTTGTACTTTGCAGCTCTTAATACTGAAATGCACTTTTTAGTTTTTTTCTCGCAAAACTGACAACCTGCGCACAATTTTGATTAAGTTTGCCGAATTATTTTGTTTGATCTATTATTAACAAAAAATGTTTGATTCATTTATGTACTGAAATGCATTTTACTAATTTATAAACAAGAAAATCCTAAGGAAATAATCAGAATTTGATTTTATTTGATAATTTCTTTAAAACCCTTGTTTTCGTTTCTAGTATTTTGATTATCCTCAATAAATGATAGTGTAGAGTTAGCATGTTTAATAAGGAATGAAATTTTAATTTTGTGAAATCATTTCGTTTGTGAGCACATAATTTTGTACTGATATGGGGCGTGTATTTTTGGTGGGACATATTCTTAAATTTTTAGCGTTCAAGGATAAAGCACGCTATATGGTTGCTTGTTTGGTTTTATTTACGGGGATTTGAATTTTGTTGGGTTTAGCCATGTGGAATATTGTGCGAAAAATATCAACCTGCCCATTTTGCATTGATTTGTGGAATTTCATGAGCTATATCACCCAAAAAGTGTCAACCTCAAGGGGAAATCCATTGCTAATATTTTATTTTTTTACCAAGATAAGGCTGAATAGCTTGTCGGTTAAGTACATAGTCAACATGCAAAAGGTATGTGGATCAAGCCTAACTACTCTTTTGTTTCATACTTCAATGATTTTCACCTTTTTACCAATTTGAAACGATTGGTAATCCATACATATGCGGCAGTACCAGGGACACTTGACTCAGCCAGTGAAACTGAACTGCTATGACATGTTTGGAACAAGTTGATATTTATATAATAATTTAAAGGAAATAAGCAACAAGTTAAAAAGAATGAAATATAAAAAAGAACAATTGGGAAATTAATAAAAAGAAAACAATGTGCATCAAATATGTTAAAGTAACTTTTACTATCTACAGCTAGCATTGATATCCCAGTCTAAAATGGGAAGTTCAACCACAAGATAATGTATGCAAAATGAGCAGGTTAGTGTTTCGGACAAGAACAAAACCTGCAATATGCTGATCACGGAAATGTTAATGATTTCACAGAAGATATTTCAGTTGGTTTATTTTTATCCCCTGTTTGTTATAAAATCAGGTTAGTAAAATTGAAGCGAAATTGGCACGGAAAGATGGCGAAATTGCTTCAGTACGTGCACAACATTCGGAGTCGTGTGAGCAGGTATTACACATGCACGAGACCAAATGCTAGCATGATTATTGTGTGGTTTTAGTAGAGGTTGTTTTTGTTACTCGTTTCTGTGAAAATTTAAAAACAAAAGTATAAAAAAACAAAATCTGGAGCACTCTGTTGCATGGTGATGTGATGTAGTAATTTAGTAGAACTATTTTTTCTCTGCGTATGTACACACTGTGATGCATGTTTTATATTTATTATTGTATATTGTATGGTGAATGTTTTAATGAGGAAAAGACATAATTTATGTATTTTAGCATGACAACTTTTTTATAATAGCGCTTTCTTAATAAGAATCATTTTCTTCCAAAAAAGAAATGCTTTTTCTATTGCAGGTGAAAAACTATGATTTTCTTTGCTAACAATACTGTTAGAACACAAAATATTTTCAAAGAACTTGTATAATTTTGAATAAAAACTAAAGAAAAATATGAAAAAGATACAAAATTCTTGAATTTTAAAATTTCTGTATTTTAAAATCACACCATTAGTTATTTTTGGCGTATTTACACTTGAACTTAACGCATATAATTATCATTCAATTTTGTTTTGGCAATCCCAGTGTTTTCTGGTTGTACCTTTTCCCCTAAACTTTTTCTCTGAATTTTTTTTTTAAATCTTATCCATATACCAATGTTAGTGTTATCAGACTATTAAACTTTGGTCATGATTTTCATTTATAACTTCCGAATGATTTGAAAACTTAAATTTTTTGAAGCCCATGTTTTTTTAAGTTTTCAGAATCCTATGTTTACCCCCAAAATGCTTTCTTTACTTTTGTGTTTGCATGGCTTAAATTTTATGTCTTTTCTTAAAATTAGTTCGTAATTTGGTGTATCAGGGTAAAAATATAAACATTTTCTTAAGCTTTGAGTATTGTTAAAAAAAGGTGGTAGATAAATGTGAGTTTGGAAGGGGTTTGGAATTGTGTAAAATATGTAATAATTTGTCATGTTAGTGCAGTAATGGGTTAACTCCTTATATGATTTAATAGGAGTCAACCTGTAACTGCACTAAGGTGATGTTATGTGCTTCAGTAATTTAATTTTATAGAATACTTGAATGAAAATAATATTGGATTGAATGTGGACATAATTTTATATGTATAGTACTTTTTTGTCCTAGAATATAAACACTAATACAAGAAAAAATGTCAAATACTAACCATGAATGTCTAGTGAAAAGTTTTACTCTTATGTGACTGCACCCAGATATACTGCATGGCAAATTGACTAGAATCTTACGCACTTGTGTATGTATGTATGTACTTTGCATGAAATATATAGTAATAAAATTACTGTGTGTATTTAGAGAATTCAGGGTAATAAGAATGATTTTATCTTCTATTTCATTTTTTACAGGTTTTGTTTTTAAGATTTCAGGACGATAGATTTTTGTAGTACTTTCGAATATTCTTATTTTATTATAATTATTAAGTAAATTATTACACCTGTCTCTATTTTAAAGTTCTAATGTTTTACTTTTCCTGCAATATTTAAAATGTCTTGCTTAAAGCTGTTGATGTGATAAATTTTGTAAAAAAAAAATATTCTTAGCATCTGTAAGTATTAAGTACATAAATATGTTAACTTTAGTCATTATCTGTAGGACTTAAGACAAAAACTCGTGTTTTTGTTTTTGCTTTAGAATTTGATAGAACATCTCAGTTACATTTATAATGTAAACCATGGCTATGGTGGTTTAATTATGGTGTTTATACTTTGTTATGGTGTTTATTGTTTTATGTTGTTTATTTTAGATTACCATGTTAACCAACAGTATACAGAAACTTCAGTCATCATCAAAAGACACGAGAGATGCCCTGACTTCCGAGGTAATGTACATTTTCTAAAGTGTTCCCTTCATTTGCTACAGGTGTTCTTTACTATGCCAAATTTTTTACCATGTTTTTTTTTTCTCTCCTCCCCCTCCACGTCCCTTCTAGTGTACTTAGATACCATGGCTTTATTTTGCTATTTTAAGTTGATGTTTTATTTACTTTTGTTGATTTTTGTAGCCAGACTCTGTGGCCAAACTCTGTGCAAGTCTTGCCACTTTTGTCCTTTTAAAGGTTTAGACCTTTATTTAAGTTTTAAGCCTGTTTGGGCAAAATAAACCCTTCAGAATTTAAATGGACTTATCCAGCTTCCATTTTTGGAACAGCTCATTATCAATGTGGGGATATCAAGATGAAAATTAAAAGTTAGACAGCCAACCATTATAGACTGTTGGGATGTGCAGGCTAGCCTGGCTCTATACTGATGATAAAGGTTAATCGCTTCTGGTTTTGGCAAGTTATGGCTAAAAAGCTGTAAGTGGGAAAGCATCAAACCTGCTAATGGACTTTTTGTTTCTATTAGAAGATTTAAATTCTTTGAAGGGCTGCAGTATGAACTATCAAAACATAGTCAAATAGTAAAAAATTTAGTTAAGTCTAAACTGTGACTTACATATTTTCACTATTTTGCCTGTTAGCCAAAACTGTTTCTACCCATGCAACCAGTGCTGGCACATTTGGGCAGTCTGGTCATGTTCTGCAGTGTTTGCTATTCAATCTGACATGCTTTGAAATTTTTCCTAAAAATGATAAATGGTTTAGCCCAGATTAAAATATGGACAAGCCATTTAAAAAATGTAGGGGGTAAAAGTTAAGATAATATCTTATCACTTTCAAACATATGTATGTTTATATGTTTGCATGATGTAATTTTATATTATGAATAAAAATATAAATATTACAATGTATCTATACAGTTTTGTTTTCATTAATAGTTACTGTTTAATCATGCATGACTTTAACTTTGATGACACAACATTTATATGGTCTATTACTGATGATTGTAAAATTGTTGGAAGTGAAACATTTTTCTTGAAAATTTAAGAACTTCTTGCAATTATTACTAGATCTTCTTGCAGGTGTTGAAAAAATTTCTATTGCAACAGAATTCAATTTGTAGCTTTTGTTTAACTTAAAAGTAATGTTAAACATTTAAGTTGAAAAAAGAAATTTGCGTATTATTAAGGTAAAAAAAAAAAGAGAAAATTTCATACTAGTCAAGAAAAAAATCTCAACCATTGGTCAGTTTTAAATTTGAATCAACCAATCAAAATGAAGCTGATTTTTGAAACTGGTTTTCACGTTTTTTTATGACATTTTTAATGTGCGATTTAATTTTTGTCAAACTTGTTGTCATATTGTAATATGCGATGAAGTGCATGTTGGTGTTTATAACAGTGTGCATGGTTTATTCTAAACTGACAGGTGGAGAAACTCAAGCGAGAGAAAGTGGAAGTATGTTCATCTAGAATGTCTTTACAAATATATATTGTGCTTTCCCCTTTTTGACATTCTGCTTTTGTTTGCTTTTTATACAATTTCTACATTTTTCTCTGCTTCATTTTCTTTTTCTGAAGCTATCATTATTTCAAATTTTATATTGTTAGAAATGAATTTTATGTTAAAACTCAAAGCAATTAAGAGTTCAAATGAAAGTCTAAAATTTATGTCAATAAATATAAAAAATCAGGTAAAAATAGAGCAATTTATTGATTTGATTGAATAAAACGTGTAAAGAAGAAGATTTTATTTTTCGTTATTTTATTTAGATGTCATTTTTGTTGGAAAATTTTATAAACTTTTAGGAATAATTGTTGTGTTCAAAATCTTAATTAAATTTCCTTTTGCATGTTTGCATATTTTACACTCAATTCATGCAAATAACCTAATTTAACATCTTAAAATTCTCACTGCTGATTTTAAACTTCTTTCTAATGTTTGTTTATTGAATTTGAGCAAAGATACACTAACTCTGTAGAAAAGGTGGCTCCTTTTTTTTGCTTTGATTAATGATTTGTTTCTTTGGCCTTCTTTGAGAAAATTTTATTTAAAGCTGATTAAATGCATGGATTTTCAGAGCTATTATAGAAATTCTCTTCATGACCTTTTTTTTCTAAAAGTTCAGAAAAATATATTTAGAAAAAGGTTTATTTAAGAATAGGGAATGCAAAATATGATTTAGTGTGATATATGGCTTTAATTTTCATACAAATAGGTTGAACACTGCTAAAAACTTGATATATAATAGTCTTATTAGTCATCTTGAACCTACACCTTTATGGTGGTCGTTGAGAGGGCTGTGCAAGGAAAAGGGATAGTTTACACTTAATAGTTAAAGCTTTGTATTAGATTAGAGTTACATTTGTTCATAAATTTTATCACCTTAGTGCAGTAACAGATTAAGTCCTTTTGAAATTAATTGGAGTTAACCAGTTATTGCACTAAGGTGATGATATGTACAAATTTGTTTTTATTTCTTTATATCTTAAACACTTCAAGAATTTTCAATATTTTTAGCAATTTTAACTTGATGCAGTTTTTGTGAGTTTTCTTTGTCTTCTACAGTACTTTACTATTCTATATTGTTCTTTACAATAACACAAACAAACAAAAATAATTTTCACCTGTATATATATATGACCATTATTCACCTTCATCAAAAAATGTTGCAACCCCATATTTATTCAAAATTTGTATCAACCCTTATATATTTATGAATATTCACCAAACTTAGTATCTACGTCACTATCAGAATAAGATAATACTTTTATCAGGCAATTCTTATAGAGCTATCCCCTTACCTTTAAATTGGTATGGTATTTTGATATTATCTATTCTGAATTTTATTTTTAGTTTTTAAAGCTTTCTTGTTTTACAACTTTTTCCTTAACTTGCTTGATCAAATGATGTTCAAATCAAATCAAATGTTCATTATAAGTAGAAAAACAAACAAAACATTTCATTTATTTCAAGAGTGAATTTAAAAAAAAAAAAAATTGTGATACCAGGTTGCAGAACGTCATGATGCCATCGTTAAACTGCGAAACGAGAATAGAGAAATTGAAGAGAAGTTGAGGGAGGCACTTGGAACAGCCCAACACAGGGGAGATGTTATTAAACAGCTGAGGGATGAATTGAAAGGAACCGGGACCAAGGTCAGTCTTATTGTTATATTTAGGTGTAGGACCTCTGTTGTTGTGGGCTTCAATTGTCTTGCTTCTCACAATTGTGTTTATTTAGGATGCAAAAATTGACCTTGGACTTTGTTTTGTTGAGTATTTAAGATAGCCAACTTGATTCTATTGCCCCTCCTTGCCCCTCACAATTGTGATATCAAATCCCACAATGGACTATGGATTCTTTCCTGCCAGAATCTCACCAGCTAGCTTATTGAAGGTTGGTAGTTTTACCCTAGTACCTTTTGGTGCCAGAAATAATGCACATAAAAGCACGCATCACTCTTATATATGGAAATTAAAACCAAACATTGACTTAGACAAAGAGTGAAAACCATAATGGAAAAATAATTGACAGATTTTTTTGTTAACTTTCAGTCTGAGGCAGGAGAACGTCGTATTGAGCACCTGGAAAAAGAACTCCAACAGTTACACAGCAGATATACGGCTTCTGCTAGAGAGGTAATTATCTTCCTTTATTTTCAAGTGACTGACTGACTAATTCAAGTTGGTAATGTTCAAATCTGAAATATTTCATTTGCCTGAATTTTTAAGTTTTGTTGTCTTTCCTAAATTATAATTGTCCTGTCCTGTACATTGGGAAACATTATAACATTATCTTGTAAAAAGTGAAAGGGAACAAGTTAATTTCAGTGAGAAATACTCAACACCCCACCCCCCTACCACCTCCATCCCCATCAAAAAAAATATTTAAAAAAAAAAATTGATAAAATAAATAAAAGTTACATTATTATTATTTTGCTGAATTTTAATCTGAATCTCTGCTCCAGTTTTTTGCCAAACTATTCATAATGGTACTGGTTTTGTTTTCAGGTTGACCGACTTCAGTTGAATCTTCAGGAACGGGACATGATGAGTGGACAGTCTGAGACTATGTTTAAATCTAAACTTACTGATAGAGAGGAAGAAGTGGCCAGACTTAAGGCTGAAATTAACATCCTTCATGAAAAACTCTCCCAGAACCAAGCTCAGGTATATACCTGAACTTAAGTTATATGTCAAGTTTGTGGACCTCCCATTTAATGATTTTATTATTCTCATACAAGATAAACCGTACAACTAACTGAGGTAGATGAGTTGTTTTCTAGGTAGGCTTTTCCCCTGATTATGTGGATGTTAAAGATTTTGTGTACGATGGATGTGAGAGTCAAATCATGCTTGAAAGTTGCCATAGGCCTTGGACAGTGTCATTGTGGCCTTAAGCCTCAACCGCATACAAGAAAATTTTGATATCAGATTTTGATATGAGAATTTATTCATGAAACTTTTCTCCGAAATTTTTTTGTGAAACCTTACTCCATCCTTACAATACTGAATAGGTTTTTTTGTATGATTCAATTTACATGCATTTTCCTGAATTACGGAAATCAGAAAATTCTAATACTTCAATAAATTTAAAAGAATCCACCAAATGCTCAATCAAACTCAATCATTTTGGTAGCTTCATACTTACTTTCCCATTTTCTTTCTTTGGTTCTAGCAAAAATATAAATATTTTTTTATACATAATGAATAACCCTCCACATTTACTTGTGATTGTTGCAGATGTTGTCACGTGAGGAACAGATTGGCCGTCTGCAGTCAACCATCCGTGACCTAGAGGAGGATTGTGGGAAGAAAGAGTCGTCTCTACAGAAAATGGAGCGAGATCTGATGAATGTTGAAGATATTAAACATAAAACTGATGACAGCGTAAGTACATGAAAGAACTATTTTATAACACTGTATTGTTGCTGCAGTTAAGATTAGAAAATTACTTGTTAAAGTTTTGCTTCTTTAATTATATGTAATTCATGGATATATAAATATATATATCAGATTAATGGATCATGTATTTCTATGAATATTTGCATGAATGCTAAAGTAAGGTAATTTTCTGTGAAAAAAATTCTTTGATAAGATTGTGGTGGCCTAGTGGTTAAAGTGTCTGCCGCTCAATCAAACTTCTTAGGTCACGACCCTGTTTGCTTTAATGACACCAATGATGGTTAGTTCCAGAAAGTGGTCACAAAGCCAAATCAGCTTTCATCAAATTTAGCGAAAATAGAGACATTTCAACTAATCTATGATTTTCGCAGGAATGATAATTACTGAAGTATGATAATTTTTGTCTGTGTATTATCTTCAGTTATCAAGAAGAGAAATCACCATACAACAGTTGGAGCATGAACTGGTTCAGGTCAAGACCCAGTATCGGGAGGCTGTTGAGGAGAACGGCAGGCTGGAGGCTCGAATCCAAGCCTTCGCCATCAACGCACAGAGCGAGCAAGATGTGCTTAACTCAGAGGTGAAAATATTTTATTTTAATCGTACACTGAACTCTTTTTAGCAGATATATAATACAGGAGTGGAATACTTAAAAATGTTTAAAATTATTCTTTCTTTAATGGTATTTAAGGTATAAACTTGGTTGCCTAGATATCTTTTTGAAAATTATTCTTCATTTAGTTTGGTCCATTGGAAGAGCTTATTTTGGGGAGTTTTATAACTATAAATAGCAAGTTCCCTTGTTTGTGTCAAGAGTTGAAACAGGTCTTAGTAAAATGTTTTATACCTTTGAGGCCAGAACTAATGACAAACAGAATGGGAAAAAAGGAAAAAAAAAAAATTTAAAGGTAGAAACTCACTGTTGATCTTCTTAATTTGGAAATAATTGAAATATGCTAATCCTAGTAAAGTAATCAAATACTTAATATTGTTTTATGATGATGTAGAGGATAATTTTACGCATAGAGGTATTAGTTCATTTGTTAAAAAATTGTTACATGCTGTTTTTAAGCATTTTGTGTTGACATTTTATTTTAAAAGTTTGTTATAAGTGTATATGAAAGTTGATTAAAGGCTATCCTGAAGCAAATGGTAAATTAAGTAACACCTGTTAAGGACAATACACAGAAGTTAAAATATCTGTATGAAATTACAACATTTTATTGATTTTAAAGACTGTAATGGGTCTTGTTGCCAAAATATTTTTTTGTGAAATTCTTTACAAAAATTTTCAATCAAAACATTTGTGCCACAGATGGTTGTTGTTGTAAAATGTTTGAGCTATTTTCATCTTCATGTGACTTAAAACCACTTGCCCCTCACCGCTAGTTACTTTGGATTCTTTCATGTGTGGTTCTTCTCAAGTGTCCATTTGTGCCTGAAATTATGCACAGAGGGGTACCTTAGGTCTTTCTCCACCAATAAATCTGGAAAGTCGCCATATGATCTTTACAGTGTTGGTGCAACATTTAACCCAAACCAACAAAAAACAAAACAAAAAAACATTGAATAAATATATTAGGTATAGGGGAATGGTGCAAAATGCTGCAAAAAAACCTGTTCCATTTTCTAAGAGTGGTCTTTTATCATGGGTTTGTCTTACATGTTTCAAAAACAAATTCAATTGTTACAGTCAATTCCATCCAATTATGAAAATTTATAAAGACTTTAAACACAGGATTTCGTCTATTGACAATTTATAAACAACATGGCAAAGTCATGGTTGTTTATCAATATTAAATCTCGTAAGATATAAACAATGCGAGACTGTGTACAAGGTTTGTTTTACATGATTAAAGATAAACTCAATAATCAAAAAGCACATTGTGGCGTTAATTGTGTTCAAATGATTTGAGTAAAAGATGACAAAAATTGATAATATACATGAATCCTCCATTTGACATGTGTGTAGTAACTGATTAACAAGTTCTTACTTGGTCGCAAAATATTGAGAAATGTGATTTGAAAATTCTGATTTTGGACCATGTTTTAGTTCAATAAAAAGTGTTGTTTTCTTAATGTTTTTGTTTAAAATTCAAAAGTTGAGTTCTTTTCTGCTCTTTGGAGCAGATTTTTGTTCTTTGGACTGACATCAATCTGTGATTAATTGTTGATATGAGTTTGGAATTTAATATGGCTACTGGTAGCCCAGGTAGAAGGAAAATGGATGTTATGGAACTAGAGGTGATGAAAATTAATGAACTCTGATTGGCATGAAATTGTGTATAACTTTACATATATCTTTTGTCACAAAACAATGTTTTCTAAAACTTTAAGAATATATTGTTTCAAGTCAGTTACTAAATAGGAAGAAAGCATTAGGTGAATGGACCAAGAAAGGTTGAATTTATATCAGGTTCATAGCTCTGTTGTCTGTTATAAGAATACAGTTATGTACCATTTAAGCATTTGACTTTGTTAGTAACTGTGTTTTTTTATTTTAAATGTATTGCTTTAAGTGTCGCATTGTAAACTTTTGGATAGATTAGTTTTAATCTGTGATAACAAGGTCTATATATTCATTCAATGTTATATTTTATAGGTCAAGAGGAGAGAGGATGCAATCAAACGCCTTAAAATGGATTACGTTAATCTACAAGAAATCAACAATAAACGGGAAGAAAAGGTATGATGTCTTACCTTTTACTATGATAAATTTGTATAATGGACTTGTCCTGCTTTGAAGTTGGAACTGTCCATTTATTATTAAAGGGGTTTTAGTATCAAAGTTCTAAAAATAAAGCAGCCAACAGTAAAGAGCCTGATCAGATTTCACTGATGTGCAGGCTGGCCTGGCTCTATACTGGTGACAGAGGCTTTTAACTTTTGGTTTCAACATTTTCAAGGCTAAGTGTTTGTTTGTTGTTTCAATTTCTGTAAACTTTTTCTATGTTTTTCTTATCATAAATCTGTCTTACATTTGTGTAAAGAAGTTTTGGACCTTTGAACTGAGGTATGAATACTATAGTTTGTTACAATATAATTTGTTTAGGTTATACAGTGGGAATAAACAGTTGAAATGCTAAATTTAGGGGAAAGATGACAAAAATGCATGATTTCTTTAATATGGGCAAAAACAACAACAACAAAAACTTGTCTAAATTTTATACTAAGTCGAGAAGATTATTCTATTTATTTTTCAATGAAAATAGGTTGTATTTACTTGCCCAGATTTGTAAATTCATAATAGTATCCGCAGTGAATCACTTTTTGTGTGAAATTGTCATATTTTAGAAGATTAAAATAAATCAGATAAAAGAATCTGCGTGTGAAAATAGTTTTTCAATACAAAGGATAAAGTTGCAAATAATTCTAAAATCTGCTTAGACCAGATACCAAAGATACATACGTTTATTGTTGTCTTATTGAGCACTGGAGTAAATTGAAAAAAAAAAAATGTTTGCAGATATAACATATAAGATTTTAAAGTAGATTTATTTGGTAAACTAGTTGATGGAAGGTGTTAATCATTTGGATAATCTTGATGGAACTGTGAGTAAACTTTGACCTCCTTTGACCTCTGTGTACCATTTCTTATCGAGACTTTCCTTACTGTCTTGTGAAAACCATTATGTCTGTTATAAATTCCTAGATATTTCTTAAGATTGGTGCATGAAAAACATTTTTTTTTTCTTCAATTTTGGGATATATTTTTTATACAAAATAATTTGCCAGTGGGAATCATTTTGGAAAGAATTTATGAAAATTGACTAAGGAAAAGTGTGTGTAGTCAAACTTTACTTGTAATGAATAAGGGCAAATGTAGTAAAAAAGAAAGAAAGAAAAAGTAACCAAAACTTTTTCAATAAAGGGAGGTAATCTAGGAATTAATATTTTCACAACCTTACTTCAGAATCTTAAATTCAGTGTGTTTTAACAAAAATCACTTCTTTCATATCTACATGTATGTTTTTAGATGTTCACAAAAATCATGTATGTGTGTCAAAGTTTACTTACAGTTCTCATCTTAAAGGCATTAATTGTACTCTCTTGAAAAATTTGTATGATTTATGGATGTATTTTAACTGTCTTAATATATACTGCAGACAAATGGATTATATGGTGTAAGTTTTAGATAAGTTAGAATACATTATAGAAATGCTGATAACCTGCTGGAAGTGGTTATCGGCTCAAGTAAACATACAGTTACCATAAGTTGCCAATAACCAATTTTGGTGCAGATTCTGCTGAAAGTGGTTATCGGCTCAAGAAAAACTGTATATTTAGTTGTTCTAAATTGCTAATAACCAATTTTGGTTCAGCATTGCAATGGAATAAATGTTATTTATTGTTTATCTGAAAGGATAAAAGATTGAATTAACATGTTTTTTAGATATTTCATAAATCAAAATCTTGCATGCAGTTTTAAATAACGGTGATTGACACCCTTCTGGTTGTAAGCACTGCAAGCCTTCCTTTTATCTGGATGTTGTTCATGGCAAAAATTAATTCATTGTTAAAGGGAGATTCACAATAAATAATTGTGTCTATAATATGGACAACAATGAATGGGTTAAAAACATTATAATTATTATTATGCTTTACTAAACATATTTATTATGTAAAAGAAACTAATTACATATGGGAAATAAATATTTTGTTAGCTGTTTTCCTAATCTCAATGTCTCTTGGACTGTGATTTTAAAAAGTTGGAATATATACCAGTTGTTACCTATTTTAGAGAGGGTGAGGAAAAGGGGCATTTGTTTCTTACACATATTAGTTTTTGATAGTAAAAAAATATGATAAAAGACTTAAGTGATATTTTGGATGGAAAACAGCTAACCCAATATATTGAACACGGTAGTACTAGAAATATATATAAATTTTTATATCAATATTATATCATAGGTATCTTATAATTCTAATGAAATTCAGGATTTGAATGGTTAAATGTTTTTGGGTACTTAGTGTTATAAAAGCTATCTGTTCAAATCTTTAAGGAATCTAAATAATACTATTTTGTATTTCTGTATAGTTACCAAATTAAATGTATCTACTAAAGTTTGAATGAAATTTATCACTGTTAAAGATAGTTTTCAGAGAAGAATGTACTGCAATACGATTTTGTATTTTTGTGTTTTTGGTAAAAGTTCTTTTTCAGTACTAAAGTGCTATTTATAGATTTATGTTTCTATTTTTGGATTAACGTTTCTATTTTTAGATTAACCAACTTGAGAGAGAGGTTGAGCAGCACAAGACCCAGCTAAGAACAGCAAACACTGAGGTACTGCTATATTAATACCATCATAATACATGAAATGAAATTTTGGAATTTTACTCACCAATAAGACAGCAGGCACTCATAAGTTTGGTACAAATTTTACATTAACATCTGCAGTATCTGCATTTTTGTGTTGAAAAGCAAACTTGTATTATAAAGCTTGACACATTTATACAGTAAAAACTGTGAACAAAGGCCATTCAAAGGAGAGACCAACCGTGGCCTTTTTATACAAGTGGTCTTTATATAGAGGTTACTCTGTTCAGTATAACTAATTCATGGTTGTTTGAAGAATGGCCTTTATTGACAGGGTGATCTTCATTGGAAGGTGGTCTTTAACACCAGGTTTTACTGTGTGCTATATAAAGATATGAAAATGATTTGTCACTTCTATTCCATTGTCTGAGATTTACTTAAATAGTTGTTATTATTCAGTCTAATGTTTTGTGTGATATGAGGGTAGGATACAAATTAAAAAAAATGTCATATAGAAATGATGAATTGTTCATGTTAAACAAATATGATAGTATTAAACTTGACAATGTTAACTTGTGTTATAGATTGAAGCTAAGAAAGGCAGCATTACAAACCTGGAGAGTCAGGTGGACGAGTTGAAGAAGCGCAGCTCGAACCAGCTCGATGAGATCAACAGACTGGAGGACCAGGTTCGAAACATGAACATTGATCAGACCGCCATGCAGTCCAAGATAGATAACCTGCAACTGAATGTAAGTGTTACGTTACAATATTTATAGTGATAACCTAAAATTGTTGAATGTAAGTGTTTGTTACAATATATATAGTGAAAAATCGAAATTAGTTAAAATCTGTTAAAAATTGAAATTTATGCGTGAAATATCTGAAATTTACATGTGAACAGTTATAATTTACAAGTGAAGAATTGAAATTTGCAAGTGAAGATTTTGACAAGTAATACAATTAGAATTAATGAGTTTTGGTTTCTGTTCTGTACATTGAAAGATAATGTAATATAAGCAGAATGTCAAAATGAGTTCTTAAGCAATAGATCATGGCATTTGATTTAAAAAATGATAAAAAGCATATTTAGTTAATCTCTGTATTGATTTCAAGTCCTCAAATTTAGTGTGAAAAGGGTTAAGACTGGAAACTACTATTATTTTCAAACAACACATTTTTAGCTCGACTTTTCTATGAAAAGGGGAGCTATCCTACTCGCCCCGGCGTCGGCGTCGGCGTTGGCGTCACACCTTGGTTAAGTTTTTCGTACCACCCCACTTTATTTCAGAAGTATTACAAGTATGGCTTTGAAACTTACCATACTTGTTCACCATCATAACCTCCATCTACAGACAAGAGTACATAACTCTGTCAAGGTTTTTGACAGAATTATGGCCCTTTTTTGACTTAGAAAGTGTATTGAGCTTGGTTAAGTTTTTTGTACCACCTCACTTTATTTCAAAACCATTGGAGGTATTGCTTTGAAACTGACCATACTTGTTTACCATCACGACCTTCATCAACAGACAAGAGGACATAACTCTGTCAAGGTTTTTGACAGAATTATGCCCCTTTTTGACTTAGAAAATACATTGAATATGGGTAAAATCCACTTATTGCCTTAACCCTTTGAGATATTGCTTTGAAACTTTTAATGCTATTTCACATCATTACCCCCATCTGTACGCAAGAGAAGGTAACTCTGTCAAGGATTTGTTTTAAAAATTAAGGCCTTTTATCGACTTAGAATCTTGGTTAAGTTTTTAGTACCAGTCCACTTTTTGACTGAACTGTTTGAGATATTAATTTGAAAGTTGGAATACTTGTTTACAATCATGAGTGACGTAAAAATACCTTATTCTCTCAAAGTGGGTTTAATACTATTAAATTTATTTAAGGCTCAACTCAGTTTTTTTTTCTTTCTTACCAGCCCTCTTTTGACTTAAACATTTCAAACTTTGCTGCAGTGTTCAAGGGTATCACACAATTCAGTAAAATAATTCTTCACTAAATATCTTAATGCTCATGGCCATTGTTCACTTTAAAAATACAGAGATTCTTGTATTGCCTTTTACTGCAAAAACTTTTTTTATTGGCAAGCAATAAAAAAGTCGAGCGCGCTGTCTTACGGACAGCTCTTGTGTTATCAACATTTAGGCAGTTCCTCTGAATTGAATTTTAGGTCATAAAAGGTCAGGTATGAAAGTAGACAGTTAACTGTTACTGAATAATAAAATTTTTATTGTAGGTAAATAACAAAGAAGATTTTATTGGTCAGTTGAAGGCAGATTTGGCATCTATTCAAAGACAACAGAAAGAAACTACAGACAAGGTATATAACTTGTAATAAAATTAATTCCCTTGAAAAAATATATGTAGCTTTTCAGATTCATTTGATAGCATTTGATCTGTAGGGCTTAAGATCATTTAAAAAGTGGAAAGAGCAGTTGAAAGAGTTGACCTTATAGCCGGTGCTTTGTTTTAAAATATGGAAAGGGACAGCTAAATGCAGTGCCATATTCCATCATTATGCAAGGTTTTAATTACACTCTTTAAGCTATAGTAGAGATAACGAATGTCGTTTTTTTTTTTGGCCACCATAATAGAACCAGGCCAGTCTTGTGCTTGCAGTGTCACCAAACTGTATACTGTTGGCTGGTAAATTTTTACTAGTATGATTTTGTTTATTTATTAAAAACCTTTACTTGTGAGGAAGGGCCCCTGAAGTCTCCCCCACTTGTAAAGCTGGAAAGCCGCCATATGACCTATATTGTGTTGGTGCTATATAAAACCCAACAAAAACAAAACAAATAGAGAGAGCCCTTTCAACTTGTAATGGACAGTATGAATTTTACAAATTTATTGGAATGAGGAAAAATCATTTCAATTTTTTTTTTGCACCATTCAGGTTGTAGTAAGAGATGACACTATACAGAAACTAAATGCTGACATTGGTAAACTCAAGTCCATGCATAATGAAAAGCTCCATGAAGTTGGGAAACAGACAGAAACCATCAAAAAATTACAAGATGCCCTTACACAATGTCATTATGATCTTGATGAAACTAGGAAAAAGGCGGAAGAAGATGTAAGTTTTTATACTTTTCGTTTTCAATCAAATGGTGGTTGGTTTGAGCCCTACAGGAGTTAAGGACCATGTTCTCTTATATGACAACAGGGTCTAAGTTTATAAAGAAATTCTCAAACTCACAGCTCTGGTATTTGATTGGTCAGAAATTGCTAAGTTTTGAGACAGAACTCCAGGGGGGGGGGGTTACCTTTAGAAAACAGTACTTTCCAAAAAACCCTGCACACCTAATTGAAGACAAGGCTTAAGGTGTGTTATTGCAGTCTTATCATTAACATTACCTATCTTTATTTTGATGATGATACAATGAAGTAATAAATTATGAAGAAACCAATTGGTGCTTGCTTAATATGTACGCTTAATGCATTAATTAAAAATGTATTTCATCCATACAAAATAAGTAATAGTGTAAAATATTTTTTTTATATAGAAACATGTAAGGGAAGAGCAGTTGAAACAGTTGCAGGAAGATTTGATGGAATCCCAGTCACAGTATAGTAAATGTTATAATGATGTAAGTCATTACCTGTAATTATTTAATTACATTTACATTACATTTACAGCTTATTTAAATTACATTAATTTTGTAATGATATAAGTCAAAACCTGTACCTGCCTGGTTTCATATACATGTACATTTTATTTTTAACAGTACAGTTACATTTATGCATGTTATTTCCTGTAATAACTTGATTACAATTACATTATAATGAAATTAGTAATTCTTTGTAAATACATGATTACATTTACATTACAGATTCAAATAAGTATAGTAAAGTTTAGAAACATCATAATGATGTAAGTTATTGCTTATTTACATTTTTCTCACCTGAACTTTTGCAGATGTTGAAAGCAGAAGATGATATTGAGAAATTAAAGGCAGAGAACTCCAATCTGAATAAAATAAGTACATCAACGACAGAGGAGTTGTCTTCCCTGCAAGAACAAGTTCATCAGTTAGAACTTGACCTCACCATATCTCAGGAGAAACACAGGACTTGTCAGAAAGAGGTAAACTTGTAAACTAAGGGAACTAACTTAGTGCTGTCATTTAATCTAGATTCTCTCCCTTGAATTGTAACTTGAAAATTATGTAGCATAAAAGAATGTAGATAAGTGTTTTCAGAGCTTGCCTTAGACCTGAAATTAACCATAGAAGCTTGATTGGACTGGAAAGTTTCAAGGAAAGTGCATATAGGGTATTTTTAAAAAATAAGCTTAAAGATCACCATGTGATCTTTACAGATTCTGTTGAACCAAAAGCCCGAACTCCACCCAACCTCAAATTGTTAGGAAAGCAAAGAGAGGGTTTTTTCCTTAAATTTCATTTTGAAGTGTCTCTCATTATATTTAAGGTATACAGCAGTATATAATCATATTTAAAGATAAAACTACATATTTTATGATAAAATTACATATTTAAAGGTAAAATTACATATTTAAAGGTAAAATTACATATTTAAAGGTACATGTAAAATATTTTTCAGGTTGGGAGTCGGGATCAAGCTATATTGAAGCTTCAGACAGAACTAGACACGACGGGAGAGAAATACTCTGGGGCGGTTGATGAGGTATGTATACTTGTAAAATGAAGTTGAAAATTATTCTAACTCGGTAAAATTACACCAATGTTTAGAATTTGTGAATGACTAAAGCCTTTTTTGGCAGTTAGTATATATGAAAACTTAAATATTTACTGCCAAAAAAAAAAAAAGTAAAAGAATAATTTTGTTACAGAAAACAACTTACATCATTATAACATTTACTATAGTGTGACTGGGGTTCCATCAAATCTACCTGCAACTGTTTCAATTGCTTTTCCCTTATGCATAACCTGTTTGTTTTTCAGTGTAAGATCCGGGACGATGAAATGCAGAGGTTGAACAATAAAGTGAAGCAACTTCAACAGGAAATACGCAACCTGAATGCCGAGATCGAGGACCGAGATCAGAAGGTAACCAGCTTTACTGTCTATTTTTGTCTTATAAATAACTGAAATATGTTCCAGTGAATACACACTGGTCACTCTCATTTTGCTATGACAGCTTTCAAAAGTGATGTTAATTTTAATTTGATTGTTATTTATACTTATATATGTGTCTGGAAATTAAAGTTGGGAAATAAAGTATAATGTTAATGGAATCGGGAACCAGACTAATAAATTTCATTTTCTTAATAAATTTTAGGGGGCCAGGGACCAGAAAACTATACAGCAACTTCAACACGACCAAGAAATCACGCTACAAGAGGTAACCATAGCAATCCATTTACTTTCATTTTATACCTTTATATATTTTACGTAATTTTGCACTTATTTTAAATGGAATAATGAGTATATGGGCAGGTATTTTGTACTTTTATTAGAACACACTTAGGTTTATAGGTAGAGGGTAGCACAAGGAGTGTTTTGTAGTTATATTAAAAGTTTTCTGAACGTTTAAACAGGTTTTAATTACATTAAAAACAAATGATGAAAAAACTTGAAATATTTTGTCATTAATTGGAAATAATCTGGTACTTAGTAATATAAAGGAGTTCTTACCAGAATTAGATGGATAAAGTTTCTAATTGTAAAGTGATTTATTCATAAAGGTTCGGAACAAAGTTATTTTTCGAATATTTGAAGGCTTAAGAATCAAATAAATATAAGCAAATATGAAAAATGAACACTTCCGTAAAATTTAATTTCATACATGATTTCATACATATTTTCATACATAACACATCATATTTAGATGCAGTTTTATATTATAATTAATTCTAATGCAGTTTACAACAGTACGAAGTGCAGTCTTTTTTGACATAAAAATGTATTGTTTCTTTTTGCAAGATATCTTTCGAGGCCGTTTTTTCTCTGAGGAAGAAAGGGGATTAGCTTCTTTGTCTGTTTTATTTTTTTCCAATCTTTTTTTTGCTCAGAAAATTACATTTATGTGAGACAAAATAGAAAATATATTAGTTTAATTGTTATTTATTTGATTGATTGAATTGTAATATTTTTTTTTAAAGATGTAAATATTTTTGTCAATAACATATTACTTTATATCCAATTTTACATGTGCTTTATAAATTTACATGAATTTGAATTAATTTTTATAAAGAATTCATGAATTTTCATGAATTTCTATATGAATGAATTTATGAATTTAAATGAATATAGATTTATATATGAAAGAATTTATAAATTTACATGAATATAATTTATATTCAAAAGAATTTATGATTTTACATGAATAATTTATGTATGGAAAGCTAGTCCCCTTTTACATTGACCAAAAAAAGGAGGTTTATAATCAGTTGAGGTAGGGAAAAAAATTCGGACATGACTTTGAATGGGGCATGTAATTGTTCTTTTTTATTTGGCATGACCTTGTTAAAATGGTAGGTTTTGACTAGACCAGTTTTTGAAACTTTTCCTAAAATTTCTGCTAATATATAATTAGCGTATAAAAGTCTTGAACAAAAGTCAGTTTATTACTTCCCTTTCATTAACAATAGGTAATTCAGAAGAAACATTGGAGAATAATTCCCCATTATTTGCTTATTTTTGATGATTTTTCAACTGATCTTGCATCATATTTGTAATTGATAAATTTTATCTCTTCCCCCCCCCCCCAATTCTTGGACATAAATTCCCAATTTCAAAGATGATTATTGTTGTAGAATGTGAGGTATTTCCATCTATAGATAAAGACAATGTTTTTCTTACTTGAAAATAAGGAAGATGGCATAGACATAATATACCTATGTATATATGTATATAATTTCCAAATTTTTGTAGAAAAAAACATTGCAAAATGAAAATTTCCCAATCCCAAATGTACGAATATTATTGTTCCCTTAATACTGATAGAGAAAAAACCAAAAACATCCTAACGTATCTATTATTGTTTTACCATACAGCACTGTTGTATTGAGGCATGTTTCACCTTGTAGCACTAAGGACATTGTCAATGTAAAAGAATGATAGAAAAAAAATATCAGCATTTTTTTTGCTTTTACGTATTTTTCCTGCACTTCTGTTATTGGGATTCACTAGCATATACGAAAGTTACTAAATGCAGCCAGATATATCAAGTGAATACTATGTTCAATTTGTTAGCTCAACTATGGGAAGTATAGGGAGAGCTATTGTACTCACCTAGGTGTAGGTGTCGCCATCACACTTTGGTTAAGTTTTTGAACTTGTAAGTTGGCATCTCCTAAACAACTGAAAATAATGGATTGAAACTTTCTTACATGTGTTCTCTGTGATAATGTTATTTATTGGCATAGGTCCAATTACTTTGTCACAGAATTTTACTTTTTACAGAGTTATTGCCCTTTTTCTTACTGTCATGTACTGAGAATAGTTGAGCATGCTGTCTTACAGACAGCTCTTGTTATAGTTTAATTTGATATGTATGATGTTTTCGAATGTTAGGGACAGACTTAGAGTATGAGAAATAGATTTGCATGAAGTTTTATTACCCGATATATTGGCTCGTCATTGGTTTATGTTGGACTTATTTACCTCTAAAAACTTTTGTTATTTAACACTCAGTGATGAGGTTAATGCCCTACAGGTGGATGCTCTGTAGAAATTGTACCCATAATTGAGCCATACATTGTTTTGTTGCAAATTTTCCAGTACATTCAATTATTTATAGAAAAAAAATGCAATTTTTCATAGCTTATTTAGCCTCCTTATGGTGAAAATGTGGGTGGGGTAGATTTTATTATTTTAGCATTATTAATCTATATTAATCTATGTCAACAGGATTTATACAGGCAGTTTATTGTAGTTTTATTTTTTTGTCTTGATTTTTCTCCTTTTTTTCTTAGACGCAGCACCAGGTAATCTTAGCGAACTGTTCACTGAGATATTTTCAACGCTTTATAATTGACTACAACAGCTTTTGTTCCACATGTATAATATGTCACTAAAACAAAACAATAAAATTGATGTTATTTTTAGCTTTCTATTAATCACATTATTGTTTGAAGCATTTTCTGCTAATCAAATTTTTATTCCACTGCAATATTCAGTTTTTATTTATATGAAAAAAAAATCTTTGTTTTCAATGCATGGAAACTATTTTATGCATTTTATCAAATTAACAACAATGTTACTAATACCATTTTTTTTTTGGAGAGAATTTGTTGTTTTTATTAATGACATAAGATTAAAGTTAAAAGTTACTAATTAAATTGAAGAAAATAGTTTATATTTGTCTAATGTTAAGTCTTAATTTATAGATATGACCCCTTTTTGTCAGATTTCATTGACATGTATCTTTTTTAGAAAAGAATTACGTAATAACTATGGACTTTAGCAGGAGGTCTTTGTGGGAGGGGCCTCTGGTTACAGTCACTGATTTTGGACCACTGGTTTATGACTATTGTGAGTTAAGTCCCACAAGGGACATTGGGTTCCTTCATGTGTAGAAACTATCCACAGCTGACAAATGAAAGGTCAATAGTCCTATTCGGGTGCATGTTTGTGCCTGAGGTCTTCCTCCACCAGTATGTCTGGACAGCCCGCTTGTGCTCTTAACAGTATTGGTGTGACTTGAATCCAACAACAAAAAAAAGAAAATAAATAAATAAATTTTTGAAAAATAGATTTGGGGGAGGGGAGTGGTTATTTGCTAATCTTAATGTGTCAATGAAATCTGACTATCCCCCCCTTTAAAATGGATTAAAGAATTTTCTTGGTAAAGGGTACTTGTAAAATTCTGTCTATGTTAGAATAATGTTAGAAAAATAATTTCTGTTCTACTGTTCGTTAGAAATTGACTGAAAAAATTGTAGATATGTGTTACTTATGTCTTGTTATTTATGTTAATACACATGTATAATACTGTGCTCTAAACAAATATTGTATGACAATTTTTGTTCATATTAGATATCTGAAAAAAAACATCAACATGGTTTGGTTCTTTTTCTTGATAAAACTTAGTAAATGTCATACCGGAAATTGAAGGCTGTGCTAAAAATAGAAATGTATTTTAAATGTGATAGTCCTGTATTATCTCCCTTTACTCTATCTCTCTTCAGTAGATTTGTCTAAACTCGTGCTCTCTATCCAGGATATTTCATTTTATAAATATTTATATGTACGACTTTCAGAAATAATGGTAGTTTAATCATTGAAATATTAGGATAGATGTGGTAGAAAGTTAAAGATTTAATTTTAACATTTTTTTCATGGCCTAGCTTAAGTATTTAAAAAAAAAAAGAATTATTTTTCAGTCTGAAATGATGTCTTTTTAAGGTTAAATGAAGTTTTTCTTTTAAATTTTGACTATTTAACTAATTTTTAATATCAATTATTTTTGTTTAGATAAAAAATCACCTACGTTCCATCGAGCAAATGAAAACCGACATGCAGGTCATGAGACAGACCCACAACCAAGAGGTCAAACGTTTCCAAGGTGATATCGAGGAAATGAGGTCAGAGGTCAATAGTACAAAGACGGAATTAGAAGACACTCAACAGCAGAATATGGAAATGTCGGCCAATATAAAATCTCTGAATGATGAACTGGACCGGTTCCGACAGATTCAAGAAGAGTCTTCCATTGATGTAAGTCAAATTTACGATAAAAACACATTTCTGACACCTGGCTACAGTATGATATAAGCTGATTGGTTTAAGACTATGTCTGCTTAAAGATTTCTATTTTCTCATCATTTTCTCTCCATTTTCATTTGAAATTTTTAGTTGAATCTAGTCATTTACAAAAAAATTGATTACAAGACGTGCATGTTATAAATATCAATTTGCCGGCAGGTCCCTTAAATCTTTTTTGAGCATTGTCAAATCAGAAGCAAATGTTTTGAATCAGGAATTATAAAATTTCTTGGTTTCTTATGTGAAAAAAAGAAAGAATATATTCTAAATCAGGATTTGTTGAATATAAGGATGGTTTTATCATAAGTTGCATTAATATTTTTCTATAAACATGATTTATTGGAATGTATAATTCAATTATTTGCAGACCCAACGTCACTTGGACAACATAAAACACCAGGATAAAACCATATCAGACTACAAGCAGCAGATTCTTGTTCTTGAAGACCAGCTTCATAAAGCCCAAGAAGAACTCCAAGTACTTGACACGACCCTTAGTAACTATAAACAAAAATACTCTCAGAGTAGCAACCAGGTGACGCATCTTGACGGCACCGTTAAAAACTTGCAGGAGAAATTAGCGGAGGCGAGAAATCGTGAACTAGAGAAGGATCAGACTAATGACGCGTTGAGAAATGACCTAGATAACTTGAATAAGATGTTCAGTGAGAGTAAACGCGAGGTCGAAAAGTGCGAGGACGTCATAGAACAGTTGACACAGGAGTTGAACTCGTCACAAGAGGAACTGTCTCTGACACAGAACAGGTACCAGGAGGCGGAAGAAAATATTAAAAACCTGAAGGATAAGAATCAAGATCTACAAGCTGAGGTAAAAAAAAATTGTTCATGGCTGAATATTGTATGAATGTTTGTGTACTTTTACCAGACTTATCTTGATGTCTTACTGTCAGATTTTCTTGTGCTGTATTACAAACTAGTTTCAAAGAATAACCTCACTGATTTATTCTGTCAAAATCAGTCACCAGATAGTTTGAATGCTTTTAATAGTGAAAAGGTCATTTTGACAAAAGTTTTCTTTTTTACGTCATTTCTAATATTTAGTATCAATGAGCTATTCATATGTTAAATGACAACATCTACAGAATTGTTTCCCTTTGATAAACTGTCTCAAGTTGCTTTTCAGTTGGGTTTCTGTATAGCTACTGTTGTTCAAAAACCTTTAATAAATTTTTTATTATCTCCATTTTCAGTCCCTTAAGTTTGAAGAACGATCTAAAAGGCTAGAAAATGAGCTACACACATATAGAGGGGATCATAATCACTCGGATCAGGAGTTTATTGAGAAAGAAGAGAGAATTACACAGTTAGAATACACACTGGACGAGACACAGAACGAGTTACACAACAAGTTACGTGTTCTCTCCGATCATCAAGATCAGCTGAATGAGCTTAAAGTTGACTTTGCAGGAGTTCGAGAACAGAAAAACGCAGCTTTGAAGGAGGTATGTTGAAAAATATCTGAAAAAATTAAAAGATCTTATTCTGGTTATGCAGTGAAACCTTTGCACAGCAAAAAAAACGCTTTACAGTAACAGTATCAATTGTTTTGAAAGTAAGAATTCCCCTCAGCATCTCTGGTAGTTTTTATTGTTTTTTTATCTGCAAAAGAATGTTGCTCATAAATTAATAAATTTTAGTCTAAAGTGAGATAACTTTGAAGTTAGATGGAACGATTTTTTGCCTGACAGACTAGAAGCTCCTATGTCCCCGCCACCCCCATTCACACTATATAAAACTTGACTTTTGTAATAACATACTCTTTTAATCACTATAATTTATACAAAGTTCATTTATAAATATTTCTGACTGTAATTCAATAGGAACTAAATTGCAACTTTCAATAATATAAACTTATTAAATGCTCAGTTCATGTGAGTTTGACACTACATATTACATTGATTTTCTTTGTTTCAATTTTTAGATTGACAGGCTCGAGCAGAACTGCGGTCATCTACAGATGAACCTGGCCAAGAGCCAAGCTCAGAATAAAGAAGACATCCGGCAACTAGAGGAACACATATCCAAACTCGATAACAGTCTACGTCAGGCTCAAGCCCGAGGCACGGCACTAGAGCAAGAGATTGCGAGAAAAGAAGATCAGATCAAACGATACGAGTCAGAGATAAAGTCACTGAGGACAGATATTGGCAACAAAACGGAAGAGGTAAGAGGGATTTTTTTTTCTAAATGACATTGAAATTGTGTTTTTATCTGATTTATAGCTACACATGTATTTTAATCTATTGTTTGATCTGAAGTATTGTCCATGGCTCACTGCCAGGATCTGAGATACAATGAAATGAGTGCAGGAAGAAATTCATTTACAGTCAAATGTTTGATCAAGATCGGCTTGCAATAAAAATCCAATTTCAAAAGCAGCTGTCTGAATATGAATATTTTTGAAAAAAATGTTATGTTTATAGTTTGATTGTACAATGTACAAATTTATAATATTAATGAACTTCCTTCTTACAGCAATATTGTCAGATTTACTTTTGATATGATGTTTTCATTGTTATATATTCCTAAAATTTGCTTTCAATAAAAGATCACCCCTTAAAGAACAGCCCTTTTTTTATACCGCCTCTGAATCATTTGACAATATAGCTTATACCTGGCTCACTAAAATTTTACTACTGGGCTCAAGTTTGACCTAAAATATCAAAGGAAAGCACTAACATGGCCTTAACACAGGATATGAATTTAATCTTACTGCTGACTGTGTTCTGGCAGATATATAACTAAAATTTCAAACAAATACAATAACAAAAGTGAATTTCACTGGATAAAAGCGACCACTGTCTTTGGATCAAAACTACCACAGCTATTAGATCAAAACTACCACTGCCACTGGATCAAAACTACCACTGCCACTGGATCAAAACTGATTGAAAAAGATGTAGCAATCAATACTGGAAAACCCGAGAAAAAATCAATATTGTGTAAAGTTATTTTCTACAGATGTATTTTCTTACATGATGAAAGATAGTTCATATCATATGCTAACTTAGTAAAAAATGGCATCTAACACTGGTTTATAATTATTTATTGATAAATTATTTGATTCAAAGATTTTTCAACCTTGACATGATGTGCCAGGCAACTTTTGGTAAGTTCCAATATCAAGTTTTTCATTTACTTTTATAACATCATTAATAGATTATTTCTGAAATTTTCTGCTTATCTTTTTCACATACAAGGTGTTACGAAAAAAGTAGTTATGAGCTAAGTGATAACTACCATAAATAATGGTTAAGTAGTATTAAATGATCACCCACTTTCAGGTGTGCACATAACCATCGAAAAGTTAGGTGAGTTTTATACACTCAACAGATTTATTGCAATATCGTCTCTTATACCTTTTTGTTCGCCTCATAAATAGCAATCGAAAAGGTATAAATTCTTCTTTACTCCCGCCACGGCCTTTAAAATATGCGGTAGTCAAGACACTATGACATTCTCTAGTGGATTTGAAGTCTTTATTGAAGAATAGGACATCAATGTTTTAGAATGTTTCGAGTGTTTTATAGTTTATCTCGAGTGATTACGTAGCCAAATGCTGATATACAAGAGACTATCCAGGATCAAATAAAGGGAGGTAATCCATACTGGATTATCATGGAAATAAATTTTTCGCGGTGTACTAAATATGGGAGAAACATGTTGAAACATGAGCTATGTGATGATCTGTTATTGGGGTTGAATCATTTATCTAAGAGATTTTTACCCCCAATTTTTCATGAAGTATTTAAAAGATTTTAATCTCTTTATGGTATTTTTAGATTGCTATTTGACATGTCAAACGCAAATGACACATGTTTACTTTCAAGTACATGCAAGTGTATTAACAATAGTTTTGAGTCCATTACAAAGAAAATGCATTTTTAGAAAAAGATTGAATTTGTGTTTGTTGAAACTATATCATTTTTAGCTCGACTATTCGATAAGAATAAGTAGAGCTATTGCAGTCACCCGAGCGTCGGCGTCCGCGTCGGCGTCGGCGTAACCACTTATGTTAAAGTTTTTGTAATAGTTCAAATATTTTCAAAGTCCATTGACATATGGCTTTGAAACTTTGCACACTTGTTAACCATCATGACCCCAACCTGTAGACAGGAGGAGGTAACTCTATCAAGCATTTTGACAGAATTATGCCCCTTTTTCGACTTAGAATTTACGTTAAAGTTTTTGTAATAGTTCAAATATTTTCAAAGTCCATTGACATATGGCTTTGAAACTTTGCACACTTGTTCACCATCATGACCCCAACCTGTAAACAGGAGGAGGTAACTGTATCAAGCATTTTTTTTACTATCAAGCACTAAGAATAGTCGAGCGTTGCTGTCCTACCGACAGCTCTTGTTATAATTTAAAATACTTAAAAAAGAATGAAGAAGAAGAAAAAAAAAAATTTGTAAGGAATATCTTTCAATTATGGTGATGAGGATGATGATTGCAATGATGGTGATGTTAATGATATAGATAATGATGATGATTGCGATGATGATGATGATGATGATGATGATGATGATTGCAATGATGATGATGGTTATGATGATGATGATGATGATGATGAATGATTTCATATGTGATAGTAGATACTATACAGCACAGTATTTATAAAACGTGTTCATTCTAGTTTTTACAGATGTATACACTTACAATACTAAAAAGAAATTACAGTAATTTCCTGCTGGGTTTCTTAACTTAGTCTCAATACCAATTGAAAGGATGACTTCTGAATTATAACCCCCCAACCCCAAGACCAATAAAAGAATGTAAACATTGGTATCATAAATGATTTCTCCAGTAAAATAATATTATCTTTTCATGTCCAACAGTTATAGAACAATATTGATATTGGTTGGTATTTGTAGTCACCGGTCAAGTTTTTATATCGGCCAGTAAAGTTAAACTAGTATTATATTTGTACAACAGGTATTTATCTAAAAACATGGCGCAACTGTTCAAAGTATGGTGAACCGAGATCTTTAAGGCAATGAAATTGAGAAAATATTGAAAAGAATGGTAAAAGCTAAGTAGAATTAGATATATCAAGGGTCTAATGTAAATAATAATTGTGTGTTTGTAATGAGATTGGAGTTTTTTTTTTCAACATGATTTATGTCGCGTGCATTGCGATGCATGTTTTTCTCGATTTCCACCTGACTACATAAATAAATAATACATGCAACGCCTATTTTGGGTATTGTAAATATATGTCTTTATTAAAAATGTTGGGGAGATAGGTAAATAAACCAGGGACTGCGATACAATTTGAATGCATATAAGTTCATGAAGAGGAACATTTTCCATCTTCATTTAAAACGTATTTGATCATAACTAACAACCTGCTGAATGGACTTGCCCAGGTCTCATTTAAACATAACTAGCTAGGCAAGGAAACCCATAGTAAACATTAAAAGTTTGGCTTGCAGTTATAAATTTCAATGGCTTTATTTTTACGGTCATTTTGCTCAGAGTAATTTGTGTAATTTTTCACTAATTGCCAAATTTTTGCTTTCACTTTGAGAAGTTAATTGGTAGGACTATAACTAAATGTCTTCCGATCAGTAAATAGAAAGATTACTATGTTTGTGTATAGCTGTATATGACTAACAACTCAGTTATGATAATTGATAATTTTTGACCTGTTTTACCCTTGGAATGATAGGAAAGAATATATTTTTAAAAAAATGAGAGCAAAAACATTGCAACAAAATAACTTTTTATATGATTGTGTACGAATACATTTTTAACAACAGGTTAACTTATAATAATAAGTTATTCATTACATAATGCTGAAGAAAAAATTATTTTAATATCAAAGAATAGAAATTCGATGGAGTGAATTACTTAATCACACAGAAAAAATTAATCCAAATTTGAAGAGATATTTTTCAAGAATTATAAAAATATATTATCGATAACGCATAATCTTCAACTTTATATATAAAATCAGCTTTGAATTAATTTTTTGTAAAATTATGCCTTAAAACGTGGAATTTTAAAGCTTTGTTTGTAAGTCTGTCTTTCTTGTTTGCTTTGAACCTCATTTTTATGCATTAAAGGATAAAATTTGTCAAAAAGTCGTTGCATTATTGCATAACAATGACATGGGGATTTTTGCAGTTTGTCAATTTACTGATTGTGGGAAAAATAATTTGAAGGTTGTGTGCGAAACTAACGTATCTCTGTTCATTATTCCATTGCAAATAAGCTTTTATAGTGATGGCATTCTTTAAATTTTTGATATGCTATAAACTGTATAATGTTTTGGATTGGTTATCATAGTTTTATTGTTTCTTGTAACATTTCAATCTTGCAGAAATCTATACCAGTCAATTTTCAAATGTTAACACATTTTTTCTGAATTTCTTTGCTTGACCAATTCTAAAATAAAAAAAGAATTCAAAGGCCTATCTAATAAATAGCACTTTAAATTTTTGATAATCGTTTGAATAAATTTGTAAGGGTAGCCCTCTACGATTTTTATCTATGGTTTGTCTGTTTATTGTTGTCTTTGTGCTGGAATAAGATTATTTACATTGTACGAGTAAACAAAGGCGGGGAAGAATGGGAAGCCGGTTAGGTGCCGGATTATATTTCTCCCTGGTTGATAGATAAGGTGTTAATAATGTTTGAAGTTTTGATTAAATTTTTACCAGGGCTATCTGTGCATAAGGTAAAAAGTATCCAGAAATAACAGTTAATAAATGACTAAGGAATTTTTATTGAATTTTTATATTTATTGAATCTTGACCATTTAATGGACTGGTTTTATAACAGTCATAGTATTGTGGCATCGCTTTGCCTCTTAAAGTGAAGACAAACCTGCATGACATGGTTAGAATATTTTGGCATCATTGTTTATTTAAGCCATGTTTTGAATGTTTAAGCATTTAGTGTTATGACATTGCCTTTACTCTTTAAAAAAAACTTTTTCTGAATTGGAAATTTGATTTCACTTTGCCACCAGTCCAGAAGCAGGGTCAGTCCATAGAAAAATTCAGAAGGTTAAGTTTATAATTACATGTACACTTTATTTGAAGACTTAAAATTTTCATTTTGCACTATTGAAAACACAAACAAACTCAAAAATGCCAAATATTGATCAAATTGTTTGCAATAGATCTAAAAAAAGAAATAAATAAACAATTCTCTGACCATATGATTAAAGACCTTATATCTTGAAATCTTCTTTTTAAAGTTATTTAAAATCATTTCACCCTTCAGTAATTAAAATACTCTATGATTTACAATACCCAATATTTATTTTTCAAATTTTCCCTCCGTGTTGACTACAAGCAAAAACCTGCTAGATTAACTATAGTCTGTTTCAAATTTTATATGTAATCAGTAAATATTGACAGTCCTTTAAAAGAATGACCACCTATAAGGCATGTGATAAATTTTATTTAAAGTGTATAAACAATGAAATGAAAAGAAAAGTCAATATTTTTGGTGAATGATTTGGAAAGAATGCTTTAAAAGTTAAAAAAAATATTACAGAAACCATGGAGACTTTAAAAGAAATTTTTCCCAATTATTTTATCTATTCTTATGAAATAAAATGAAAAAAAAGGGGAATATTATTTTAACGATGATGTGAAATATTTGAAACTCCTCCGTATAATTAAATTTTATTAGTTGGTTAAATCTTAATACTTCCACGGTTTAAGTTATAAATTTTGAAAATTTTCTTTAAAAATGATTGAATGAGTTTAAGGTGCTGGTTAAATAGATAGCTCTGATAATTGACCATTGGCAAGATTTTTTCATATTAAATTCAAGTTGATATACTCCCTTCAAGTTGACGTTAAAATTCCACTAATCAGCTTTTCGAAATGACCCTTTGACATAACTCTTCAAGTGCCTGTAAACTTTCGCTGATAGATTATAGTTAATTTTTGCAAAGGACTTTAGATAGTATTAAAGAATAGATAAGACCCTTGTAAAACAGATAGGAAAAATGTGAAATTAATCGGAAGGAAAAATATCTACCTGTAACAAATTACTCGAATGACGTGAAAATTACATTTTGTTTATTTGGTATCAAAATTAGTTTTTTGCTTGGTCTTTGAAGATATTTTATTTAGGTCCTCAAAAAAAAGTGGAATACTTCCTAAAGTGCCAAGTAGTTTTAAAGGTTTTCGATATTTTCCGAAGTTGAATTATATCTTTAAACGTACACACGAGAGTAGAGTAAAATGTTTATTTAATGGTGTATATATAGGTAAACAGACTATAGATAAAGTACAGTGGTTATCGGTATGTCACAGTTAAGGTATCGTCATGTTTCGAGATACAAGTGATTGCATTTGAAGAACCGTTATGTTAAACGGATAGAACTTGAATCGAACGAGACAGAATATGGATAAACTCGGGTATCTAGTCACTGGTTGTGGAGTATTGGAATTTACTTGATGCAGGGTCGTACAAAAAAAAAATTGTGGAATTTTATTTCAGTCTGTGTATGGTATATTAAATATAGTCTTTATAGTAAAGTTTTATGGAATTAAGAAAAAAGTGTTATTATATTAGTGAATTAAAGTACATTTGTGTAATGAAATGTAAATGTAAAGGATGGGGTTTAAGAATTAAAATAATTGTGAGGTGCTTATAACAAATTGTCATGATAGATTGATTTTTGGAATTTTATGATTTTCAAGGAATCAATATTCAACTTTGTTGTGTGTTTTGTGGCTATTGATATTTGTGGAAATATGATTATGGAGTTACTTACATTGTCACAGTTTTTTTCTCTCTAAAATTCTGCCGTTTTCTTAAAAGGGGAATGGTATGATTGTAATTTAGATGTCACGTTAAAAAAGTTTGAGATTTTTTGCCTGTCAGTCGATTTGTTAAATTGATTTTTTCTTCTTCTGTTAATGGCATGTAAGCAATGAGTATGAAAGTTGAATGAATTGTGCCACTTGATATCTGAAATGTGACACATGACAAGTAAATTATGTGATCTGTTCATATTCACATAAATTCTTCATTTTCTTTGCTTTTATATCCAGATTTTAATAAATTTTATTCTGAATTTATATTAGGATACTCTATTTTGATCAGAATTTAAATTTATATTAGAAAATTCATATTTTTTGTCAATATAAAATTTAAACCAAAATATTAAACAAAAAAATTTAATCATTTTTATCAAATTCAAGCATGTTGAAAAAAACATGATCTCGTTTTAATGAAAATTATAGAAAAGCTGTTACAAGTATTAGCGTTTCACACTCGGCGATTAAAAGTTGTTCTCACTCATGACTTTATTTTCAAAAGTTACGACAGATTGAAATATTAAATTTCCTACAGTGCTTATCACAAGATTGCACTGGTATAGACGTTTTTCAAGCCTGACTTAAATGATCATATTGAGGTGTCCGTTTATTCAATAAACGTAAATTTGCAATATCGATTTTCATCCGATTTTTATGACTTTATCTCGAGGTGAATAAAGCATGCATTATGGGATAATGATGTTATTTTTGCACCGCTGTTTAAAGAAATGAACCGAAAGTGGACGATTATTTATTTATTGCTATTTTATTACAGTTTTTCGATACATCTTAATGGATTCTAACAATATGGTTGATTGTTGCATAAAGTTTCATGTAGTGAAATTCGAAATGTTTCGATACAATATGTTTTGAGAAAATTGATTTCGCCATTATTTATAAATACGACGTTTGGAAACGTGTCAAGACTTTTAACTGGTGGAAGTCTATTGAAAGTGAAAAATACATTTTGAACAGTTTTTGGCAGGTCTTTGAAGTACAAAAATTTGACTCGATAAAAGAACGTACACATTTTTATGAAAGGGAATATTTGATGAAAGATTTTATTGGTATGTAAATAAGAATATACTAGTAATATATATAAATAAATGGGACTGATTCGTTTTTCTAAACGTGACATTTATCATATGGAATTTCTAGTTCGGATTCTAGTTTACGTGTAAAACGCGGATAATGGAACTAAAAAACAATGATAGATCAAACGTTAAAAGATCAAAGTTTGTGAAAGGCTTTTAAAAATATAAAATGACAGATATTGTTTGAAGTTGTAAAGTATTGATGAAATTTTGAGCGACACTGAATTGTTTCAATCAATTGTTGTGCGAGTTCATCGGTTCTACGAGATTTGTTTGGTTAAACATTTCCGCCCGGCTTCTGATGTTGGATGTTTCCCAGCAGATCTGTTTGCGCAAGCATTTAATTGTTAAATGCTGGGTGTTTAAAGTTTCAAATATTGATGAATTGATTTGCATTTTCACTTCTGAATAGCGAGGTTAATAAACATTGGAGATATCTTCCCATTTCTCTACAATTAGTGTAATTGGCACTGTGTAATAAATGCATTAGGGGGGTCTTATGTTGCAAGTTTTATAGACATAGTCTGTTGTTAATGCATTGAATGCTTTGACATGTTGAAAGTTACATACTGGGCTGTTTTGCCAGCAATTTATGAATAAATTTCTTCTCTTTTTTCAATGTTCTTTGGTATGTTGATTTTGTTTCATGGAATAAAAATAGTATCTTTAAACAGAAATAAGGGTTAAATTCTTGCTATGTGTTTAGAACTTTATTGGTAGGAAGCAATTTGAATTTTATCATTCATTTATTTTTGTAAATTTTGATTCAGGTTTGATTTCGATGAACATGAAAGTTGGTAATTTAGGTACCTGAAAGACAAAAATGGAGTTAACTGACTAGATATTAGTGAAAATAATATAAATCGGTGATGCTTTCATGTTAAAAATGGCATCTGAGGATTATTTGTGTTCACCGTCGAAGTCGTGGTTGGAACGGTACGAGGAATTAGCGGACCGATCATATCCAACAGTGGTAGTTGAAGACGTCATTGAACCGTTCGGTCAGCCATATACCTCTACTCCATACAAACCCCATGGTGGGGATAGTAGGGACCAAAAAGGGGTCAGATTTGATACAAGTGCTATTCAGAACGATGGTAACGACACGGAGGAGAAAAGAAGGTCAAGGTCGCCGCATCGAAGCATGGAGGATGTAGAAGTGAATAGTATAAATGAAACAGGAAGGAAAAGTCCGTACAGGTCGGGTAGAGAGTCTATAGAAGACATTGTGTATAGATACACACCTAGTAGAGACCTTTCTTTAGCGGAAGGTCGCAACACTGCCATAAACAATTCACAGGAAACTGTTCAGCCACCTCCTATAGGATCCCAAATGACATATAGTCCATACCGTGGACCCATTCAGGATGAAATTCATACACAACCTTATTACGGCCCCATAGTTAGCACAGTAAGAACAAATTTTAACGAACCTGACCCAGCAGTTCTAAAGGGGTCGGGGAAAGCTTCGGCCATTATAAATAAAGTTCATAACAAGGTTAGTGAGGAAAGAATAGAGGAATTAAGTGCTCAATATCGTGAGCGAATGTCAAGAAAGTTTAATAATCATGCTAAGCAACATCACAGGAGTAAATCTGACAATGCTGTTTGTGACCTTGATGAAAGGTCAAGGTCAAATGGTCGTAGTATTGATGATAGGATGTTTAGAAAATATGAAAATGCTGTGTTGCAGATTGAACGGTTGGAAGGTCAGATAAAATGTCTCAAGATGGAGGTGAACAGTTTGACGGCAACCAAGAAACAGGCAGAAATGAGGGTGAGTAAAAAACTTTGTTTCGTCCTTGGTTTTTGATAAAGGGAGTTAAATTTTGTCTTTGAATGCTCATTTATATTCAAGATGACCTTGAAAGCATTGGGGTGAAAATTCATCGAAATATGATCAAAACTTTTAATATTTTTCAACCTATCTGAACTCGTTGAATTCTGCTTTATTGATAGTCAAACTAAGTACCCAAGATAAAAGAAACAAATATGGTTCAATTATTAATGAAGTATGGCTTGAAGGTGGAATTGAAAAAAAACCCAACAAATTTCCAATAATAAAAGGAACTGCTGCATAAAAAGTCAAGCATTTATACTTACCGAGTATGTGAATTTAAATTTTAAGCTGCTATTAAAAGTTGATATATTTAGAATTAATCACATAATCTCTTAATTGGATAGATTATTTAAAGAATATGCCTTATAAATGCAATTAAGCAAAATTTTCTGAAAGCTGACTAGAGAAAACTTTGAAACTACCCCTGCAAGGAATAAAAATGATAAATTCAATGAAATTTTGAAAGTGAATATTTGTGCCCTGTGTCATAAATTAAGGTTGATTATTAGCTACCAATTCTTTAAGAGTATATAATGGAATTGTTTAATAAAGTCTTTCATTTATTGACTTTTTCTCCAATAAGACATGACATAAGAGGTTTTATTAGTTGTTGAAAAGTAATATATAGTATTACAAGATAAGAAAAGCATATAAACTTAAGACTAACTGGCTCTCTCTTATAATACTATTTGAGTGGTGAATACTTAAATATGGCTGGCTAACCTTGGTTCCATCAACATAAAACTAGACTAGCCTATACATCCATGCAATTTGTCAAGGTAGAAATGGTTTTTCTATTTTTTTTTTTATATAGAATTTCAGGATTTGCTGTTCAATTTTATTTTTCTTGAGACTCTTGATATACAGAATGGGCCATTCCCAAGTTAGAGTTAGACTAGTTCATTACTCAAATTTCAGGGGCGAAAGGCTCAAGTTAAATGCAAATAAATTATAGATAGATACAATGTACCTAAAGTACCTTTCTTGTACCAAATTTCAAAATGAAAATATGGTGTACAAACAAATATTTCGAAATCTTCTCCGATTAAACATTCCAATTTTGACTGTTTGCACTTGCTGTATTGTATGTAAGACCAATATTTGAATAAGTTTTAATATTCTTACTTTACACATTATGAAATCGTAAAAGACGGCTTTATGTTAAATAAAAGTGTCGCAGGTTTAAAATTCAATACTTTCATTTTCTTATCCGATCAATTAAAAGACTCGAGCTCAATGATGAGATTATATGAAATACTCTTCTCAGTGGAGGAAGGAAAAAATAAAGTGTCATTCATTATTTGTAAGGAATATCGGAGATTAGCTCGTCAATTCACCTTCGACCCCAGGTTTTGAAAAAGTAAGCCAGAAACGTGAACAAAATGAGTTTTCATGGCTTTAAAGAAGTTATATTTAGAGTAGTAAAGGTGGTACACTGTATGTAGGCTTAAAGGCACACCATGGTCCACTTTTGACAGCATGAATTTTATGTCAAATCATTTTGATTTGTGTTCGAGGATAATCTAGCTTTATGGAAAATAGTATCAAAGCCTTTATTTTAGTGAGAAAAGCCATAAGTACTTAAAAATCTAGAAATAAAATTATAACAAATAAAAAAAAATGGAAAAAAAGAAAGAGAAATTGTAAATCACTGTGGGTCTCAAAAAAAGCTGTTCAATTACAGTATTTGCTACTTTTGATTTGAACAGAATGAAAAATTTACCCATTGTGAAAGCCTTGTATAATAAATGTATAGAAAAAGGAAATCTGTTATTTGATCTATAATTGGTTTAATTGAATGAAATTGAAGACTTCCAGTTGTAAAAGTAAATTGAATGGCGTAATTGTGAAATGCTAGATTCGAATGAATAATGGACGGCCCACAATTAAATAATTTTGAAAAGAAATTAAGTTACAATACAGAATAAAGTGTCTAAGTTTTCTCCAGGCTTTGTAGATAAAGCATTTTATATTTCATTGCTTTCAATAAAAAAACATTCATTTAAATCAGTGCATTTTTCATTTTTGTTGTTAGGGAAAAGAATTTAAGTTTGTACAGAATTTATTTTAGTTGGATTGTGTTAGAAGTTATAAGCATATTGAAATACTATTGTAACTTGTTCCTGGAACCAACAAGTACTAAGCAATGACTGTAAAGTTTCTTACCTTAATGAAACAATGGCTTGCTCCTAACAGGGTTTGAACCCAAGCAGTCAGTATTCTGATGAATATGATAGAAAAAACATAAAGTTTTGCTTAAAACTTAGAAAAGCAGTTGTTATGGTTGTTAACTTTAAACCACTTGCCCCTCTCACTATGGTTTTGATCCCGATAAGGACTTTGGATTCCTTCATTTGAGGCAATATCCAGCTAGCTTATGGAACGTCAGTGATTCTATCCAGGTTCCCCGTTCATGCCTGAAATAATGCACAGAAGGGCACCTGAGGTTTTCCTCCTCCAGTAAAGCTGGAATGTCGCCATATGACCTATACTGTGTTGGTTTGACATAAAAAGCAACCAAAAAAGAAGAAAAAATCATTAATCAAAAGTAATTAATCAATATAATATAATTTTAGAAACCAAATACCTAAAATGTCAGGTTAATTGTACATGTAATAGAAATCTTACATCATTATGAAGAAATCTTTAAACAGCTAGAGTGAGATATGCAAAATAATGCACTTGACTAAAATTGAAGTAAAGAACGATTCACCTTTAATTGAATTTTAATGTGAAATCAAGTACACTGTAGAATGAATTTTGATTGAAAATGTAATTGAAATATGGATATATTTTTCAGTTTGTATGAGAATCAATATTCTTAGTCCTTTATCTATTTTGTTTTATCTGTAAATTATTCATCACACATGTTATGAAAAAAAATAAGCTATTAATTAAATATGTTTTGAGGGTATTACAATTTGTAAAACATGGGCTGATGAATTCTGAATAATACATGTTAACCTGTTGACAATTTAACTATTGTGTACAGAACAATTCATCAAAATTTATAATTAACTCTGCATGTTAGGTCGATAACCATTTTCAAAATGATAAACATCCGTTTTTATTGACTGATTCAATGATTATTTCATGTTTTATTTGACTGGTTTCATGATTATTCCATGTTTTTGTTCATTGTACATGATGCGTTGTTATCTGTGAATCTGGGTTTTTTTTTGTTGTTTCATGTATCAAAACATGCCTGTATTTCATTACAAAACTTCACATGGCCTTTATTCCTTTACAAAACTTCACATCACTACTTAAGCTCTTTTAAAATTTGATATAAAAAAGGTCTTCTTAGTTTTCTGTAAAAATAAGTTATTGTAGAATTTCTACCAGATATTTCCATCACCATGCAATCATAAGGATGAAATAGTGTATAATGAATTAGAATAAGAATCAAGATGAGAGTGCTCGATTAAATCTTGGCCAAACAAAAAATTATGACATATTCCTTTCAGTAGATGTAAATTTATTAATCAAGCTTGCTCAGTGATTGATTATTCTACGTTATATTACAGATGGCAGAGCTTCAGAGTGAAGGAGAACACCTCAAGGGTGACCTTGGCGAGGCTCGTGCTCAGTACAAGGACTGTGCACAAGAGGTATGACTGTAAAAATATCAGTTATTTTAAACTGCTTAACTATATATATAATATTTAATAAACTGTTATCTTAATAATTCCAGCCTCATGGCTGAGATATAAGGTCCATATCTCTAATCAGTTAATTTGGTCGTAGATCCCATAAGGCAATTTGAATTATTTCATGTGAAGACACTGTCCTGCCGGCTTAATATTGAAGGTTTGTGTTTCTACTTGGGTGCTTGCATGCACACAAAATAATATAGGGAAGGTGCAAACAATGTCTTTCTCTTCCAGTTAGGCGTGAAAGTTGCAATATGACCTTTACAGTGATGATGTGATCTAAAACTTAAAGAGTGTTTATGGTATTTATTTTTCATTTCCATTATGTAACAGTAACATAAAACTAGTTTTGTATGTTGTCTGCTGCAGCTTGCTCATCATGAAGAGAAGCTTATGTTGATGGAACAAAGCCTCCAGACGACCCAGGAACAACTCAGTCAGAGGGTCACAGAGGTCGTCAGACATGAGCAGGTCAACAGGAAACTTGACATGGAACTTAAAACTCTAAAAGGTATGGTATAGTAGTTAATGGTTTGAGTTTGAGTATTGATTTTCGAATCTGAAAAAAAAATTAAGACTTGAAAAAGATGTTGCCATTAGTTAGAAAGATTTTTGACAAGTTATATGGCACAGTATAAAACAGATGTGGTTATATGGCTCAGTATTAACTGTTGTGGTTATATGGCCCAATATAAAAAGTCTCTGGAAATACTGTTGTGTTTATATGACCAGAAAAGGGTATTGATTACATGGCCAAGTTTAAACAGTTTAGCTTCGAGACAAGTATTCTGAGATACTGGACAAGAGTTTAATAGCAAACAATTGTTTAAATACTGCTATATAACCTGTCCAAAAAACTTAATATTAATTTACAGCCATTGAGTATATATAAATCATATGAACTTTCTGATTGACCAGTTACAAACATGTAGAGAATTTATAAATACGATGTTTATTTATAGAAAATACGATGTTTATTTATAGAACGTAATGCCAACTCTGAGGAAGAGATAGACGAACAGAAATGTGTAATTGACAAGCTGCGGAAGGATATGATGCGTGTAAAAGAAGATCATCATGCTGCTGTACAGGAAGGTCTTGCCTACAAACAGAAAGCTCATAAATGTGAGGTGGAATTGGATGGTGCTAGAGAGCAGGAAAAAATGCTCACTGAGCAGGTAATTACTGTCTCGGAATTTTGTAGTGGTTAGAAATTACATATTGGTGTTAAAATGCTAATTGACAGCTTAGAGAAGTAACAGGTTAAGTCCTATCTAATTTTAATAGCAGATAACTAGTTATTGCTTAAGTTGATGTAATGTGATTTCTAATCTTTGTGAATGTATGAAACAGCCAGAAAAATTATAGATATCAATAGTTTTTGCTTATACATTGGTCATAGTAAGTCCAAAAGGCACCCTGAAGATTTTCTAAGACCGTTACACAGGTAATTTACATCTGAAATCCTGATTTTGGATGGATTCTTTTCTTCTGCAGATACATATTAACTTTGAATCTAAGGTGTTGTCATATTTTGAGCTTCTTGTACAAAATAAAGATATTCACGGCATTAATTTAGAAAAAGATTTTTTTTTGATAAGATTAATGTGTGAAGGAGTGTGGTAATTTGAAATATATTTTTTATACCCACCAGGTGGAGCAACAAGATGCTATTCTGACACAGTTACAGAACGAGCTCCGTGCTGAACGAGACCGTCATCAGGAAACCGGTCGTCAATTACAGAATGCTCGCCACACAAACTCTGACCTCGAAGACACACTAGAAACCAACCAGAAAGATATCAAAGAACTTTCAAACAAGGTGTGTGATTCTTTATTATATGTAGTAAATGTCTGCTTTGATCGGTAAACCAAATAATTCCTTGCAAACTTTTCACTTGTGGAGAAATTGGTAGTTACCGGTTAGTTATCCAGGAAAGTCAGTTAGGTGGACCTACCAGCATAAAAATCCCAGACACACAAATTTTTGAAATACATCTTTTGCCCGATTAGCACAAGCACTGGTATTATCAGTGAGATAAATCCATTGAGAAGAAAAAATGTTGGAGATATTTTCATCACCTACTACCCATTGGTCTAGGGAAATGAAATTCTATTGACATTTATTAAGAACAAATTAGATGTAACTCCATCCTCATAGAAGCTCCTTAAAGGAAAAATCAACATGTGTTAACTCTCACTTTTCTTTTACAATATTTTAGTAAAAGCTTATATAAGCATGTACAAATAGTCGAGGGGCTGTAACGTTTCTTACATTACCATGTATTGAAAATGAGTAAAGAATCCAAGGGGCTGTAACTCTTATCTAACATAACAATTAATGAATTCGCATATAGAAATGATTTTTATTTTTTTTTTGTGTGGCAGTTGTTGGAGAAGGAGGAGCTGGTGAAGAAGTTGAGAGATGATATCGAGGACGAGAGTAAACGTATACAGAAACTGAAGGAAGACATTGCAGAGCGAGACGGACAACTTCATGTCGCCAGGATGAACTTACAGCAGCAACAAAAACAATCAGTTCTTCATCAACAAGAAGTAAGTTTATTAATCAAAATTTTGATAAAGGTGCAGGATGAATTCATGTCAAATCTATATTAAATGTTTGTTTATGGAAACATTCACTGATTGCAAGAGATGATTTCGTATAAAATAAAAAAGAAAGTGGGGTGCCAAATAATTAAGGTTTATGTCTGTTATTCCTATGATATTAAGTTTGAGCCCATTTTACCGCATAATGGCCAAGTTTAAATAATATTTTATTTGTATCCTTTTTTACTTACATAATAAAGTAGTTTTAAGATTTCTCTGTATTTGTGTCATTGTTAAATGTATGTCTATTTTTAGATTTCGAGATATGAAGAAACATTACAACAGTTGCAGGCTGATCTTGAGAGAAGTCAAGATAACTACAGGAAAGCTCATGCTCAGGTAAAATACCTTTACCTTTTGTTATAGTTAACCACCATGTATCTTTAGGCAAGGATTTAATTTATTGACTAACACTGTATGATATGACGTAAAGATATGTACATGTGGTAAGTAAAAAAGTATGGCGATTAAGTGTAAGATTACTTTGCATTAGGTTATTTATCTATTTTTTTACAAGAATGAAAATCCATGAATTTAAGAACCCACGAAAATGCCTGTTTTGATAAAACCACGAAATTTTATGCCAATGAATATAAGTGAATTCACAGAAGTTTGAGTATCCAAATAAGTTTTAAATACAAATAAGCAGTAGTAAATAGTTTGTTTTTTTTTTTATAAAATTCAACGTCTTTTTGATATATTTGTATCAAATTTGTTGAAAATGCTAATAACAAGAAATTATAAAATATGATTAAATTATGTTTTTGACAGTTGATGGAGAATGAGGAGAGACTACATGATATGAAGGTACAGCTGACCACTGTCCAGGGTAACCACAAGGAATCTATGGAACAGCTTGGTGATAAGTCCCAGCAGGTGGCCATACTGAGGACCGAGATGTCACGAACACAGCAACAAAACCAGGCCTTGTCTGAAGATGTGAGTACCAATTAGTTACTTCTCTTTGATTGAATTTATTTGTGAACAAATAAAGATAACTTCCCTTTGATTTTAGATATTTAGGGCATTTATGAGTTGCTTCCCTTTTCTGGAATTTTGTCTGCTATATCATTTTCATGTTAATTTTAATCAAGTTTAAACAAGATGTTAAGTGGTTATGTTCCTTTGATTTTTGTGCTTGCTTATCTTTTTTTGATAACTTGTGTGAGGAAGTTGGCTGTTACTTGAGGAGAAAAAGGTTATCTTGATATAGAGTCCAAGAATTTTGTTGAGGTTACTACCAACATAAGATTTAAATACTGTTAAAAGTACATAGTTTAACAAAACATAAAGTGTAAATGGGAATTCTACAATATTTCATGGTTCATGCTTAATTAAATCCTTTAAAAATAATTTTTTCGCAGTTGAGTAATTATGAGCAGAAGATACATCAGTTGAAATCAGAATTGAAGAAAATGCAGGACTTGAATCGACTCTCCGAGAATGAGGTAAGATCAATTTTTCTTCCTTGATATTGATTCCGTTACAGTCATATTATCAAACTTATAAGAAAAAAATCATTAGAAACCATGATACGATTTTTTATTAATAATGAAGAGCAGTCACAAAAGGTCATGTAAACTTGGTATATTCCAAATAAATTCTAGGCATCGAAAGTAACGAAGCAAACCAAATTTAACCATTCTACTGGTACAGTTAGATGATAATTACCATAATGTAAATGATGTTCCATGTTAATAATAATAATCCATGTTCCTGGATTTTAATTTTCAGCTCCAAAGTTTCGAGATGAAGTATAACGACCTACAACAGGAAGCTATCACATCACAGGATAGGAACCGACAAGGTCTTCAGGAGCTCTCTGCTAAGGAGGAGGAATTAGTGGTCGTTAAAGTTGAATTGAGTGCATTACAAGAAAAATACAAGGCCAACTGTAATGAGGTAATTGAAATTTTTTCTTGTTGTTTTTGGTTAAGAAATAATGCATTGATAAACTTATTTGTATTACTTTTATTGGAATAAAATGGTAGATCTTTTATGTTATTTTATTGGCAGTCCTGTATTACAAGATCGTTTCATCGATTCATTATTTTAGAAAGAATGTTCATTTTTAAAATATATATATATCATAAAACAAGACTTGGAGTCACAACTATATTTTTGTATTTGACACCAGTACTGGTAAGTAGAAAACACAGATTTTGTAGTGATTACTTCTAGTTTGAAGGACTATTATACATTCTGCCCTTAATTTAATTGTATTAAGTACACTTTATAATTTCTGAGAATGCATTAATAGTTTTTGTATTCTTGCAGGCTGAAAAGTTGCATTCTGAGCTTGAACTGATGAGGCACAACTATCACAGTGCCAATGAGGAGATCAAGGGGCTGAGAATGGCTCTCGAGGAGTCAAGGACTAACGGTGACCGGCTTCACAAGGAGAGTGAATTGGTTGTGCAGAATGTCAATACCTGGGTACAAGAACAAAAGTAAGTGCATTAAATTATTGTTTCAGTAAGATGTAATGTTGATTTAGCGCGGAATGTTAATGTTATTTATTTAGTGCTTTTGATTTTTCACTATTTTAAGGGAGACTGTAAAAAGGCTTTGATACACCCATTCATAGTCATTTATTCATTAAATGTATAGAATTCTGTCAGTTTATATGTCTATGTTAAGCTTTGAGGCACAATGTTTTAATAAATTTGTATGTTATGTTTGTTTTTTGTTTTTTTTTCAGACATGCCAATGAGAAATTAGGGAACAAAATTAGAGAACAAAGTAAAGCCATCATGCAGCTTACAGCTGAAAAAGAGTAAGTTCTTCATTTATTTTAAACTATAATTTCTTCATGTAACTTCAGCATAAATTTGCTGTTACTTATTGAAAGCGATTAACAATGAAACTGTCTATAGATAACCTTTGAAGGCACTAATGGTATTGGAATATTTAAATTTATATGGTACAGGGAGATAATTAGAAATCATCCAGCTTAGTAAAAAGGATCTTAAGGTTTATGATATTTACGTAATAGCTTGTCTGTTTCTAAGAAAAAGTGGAGGGTCGCCATTGTTGTCGTCATTATTGTCGTCGTGCAAAAACTAATGAAGCCGATTTAAACGTTTGAGAAGGTATCAGCATGAAACTTGGAATACTTTCTTATCATGACAAGAGTAGTTGTAAGGCAAGAGGCATAATTCTGAAAGCAATATAATTGAGTTATGCACCTTTTTAACTTATAATTTTTAACAGACAGGCATTAACACCATACATGTTGTTAAATACTCTTGTTTAGGATAAAATAGTTATACCAAATACTTTAATATTGCAGACAAATGTTGGAACAGATCAACAAATATCAGAAACAGAACAATAAGATGAAGATAGAGTTGGACGAGAGACGTAACGAGGGTGAGAGGTTTAAAGCTCTACAGAACCACAGCTCTCATCAACAAGTCCTCCTCAATCAGCTCCGGTCCCGGCTAGAGGAACATGAGTAAGTAGTAGATTATATCCACCTTGCTTAGAGATAGATATGATGAAAAAAGTGAAGCATGTAACAAACGTAAGAGGACAAATGTGAAGTATAAGATAAAAAATGTGAAACATGTAAAATATAGTTTGAATAATGTGAAGCGTGTGAAAAATCAGATGATAGATAAATGAAGCATGTGAAATATAAGATGAGTAACTGTAAAGCATATGAAAAGTAAGCTGGAAAATGAGATAGAAAATGTGAAATAGATATGATTTAAAAATGTGAAACATGTAAAAAAACAGGTTTTAAAATGTGTAGCATGTGAGAAATATGATGATGACTTTGTTAAGCATGTGAAATTTAAGATTAAAAATTTGTAAAATGGGGATGTAAAATTGTAGCATTTGTAAAATAAGATGAAAATGTGAAAATATAAGATTAAAAATGTGAAAAGAGTAAAAAATTAAAAAGTGAGAAAAAATAAGTAAAATGTAAAAAAGATGAAAAATGAGATAAAAAATATCAAAAACATGTTAAAAAATGTGAAGCATACAAAAATGACATGAAAAATGTGAAGTACATGTATATGTAAAATATGAAGTTGGTAATAAAATGATGTGTTTATGTTACAGGATGGAACAAGATCAGGAAATGTCCAGTAAGATGGCAACTATAGAAGATCTACATAACCGACTAAAACTTAACATTGATAACATACAGCAGCTTAATAGTCAGGTAATATAATCCTACAATCTACATAATGATGGAGTGGTGCGAAATGAGAGTAACTCCTTCATCATGTAATATGAGTTACAGCTGTTTTGCACCAAACCCTCGATATATAGAGAGTACTGTCAGCAATACTAAAATATCTACGCCACTGGTATGGGGCCTGGCCAGTCTGTACTTAAGTTTAACGTGATCATGTTCTTAGATACTGCTACGTACTGAATTTTATGCTAAAATCCCTCAATAGCTGATGGAATTTTTTTTTTTATTCAATGCCAGCTAAGTTTATAAGAGTAATTCATAAGTTAAATAATTAAATTTTTTGCAAGATTTGATAAAAATGTTATTATTCAAATGATATGACAATTAAACAGAAATCATTTCTGCAAAATTCAAAATCTTCAAAAGATTTATTTTTTGTCTTTAAGTATTTTTACTTGTAATCAATGAATTCTATATTGTATTAGGTTTGTTTAATCTATGATCTTTTAATTGATTTAATTATATTCTCTATTTTCAGTTAAATTCTTTACAAAAAGATAACCACCGGTTACGCAGTGACCTTGAACGTGAGATCGGAACACGACAGACTCTGGAGCTACAGATCGAGAGTAAAGAACAAACTATAAATAGCCTCAAGACTCAACTCGAGGCTAAGAAACATCTCCTCATTGAACACAGTTCGCCATTAAAAAGGATCCGAGTGCTGTAAAATTTTTTAGTTCGTGTGAAAAAATTTTGTTCGGAAAAAAAAACCTTTTTCTTAGGGGGCAATAAGGTTTTTGGTTTAGCTATTCCCAATACTGATTTTTTTTAAAGTCTTTGGGGTGAGGCCATTTTTTTGAGATTTTATTGAAAAATTTAAAAGAAAAATATAAAGACCTATGCAATGTAAAAGGGAGAACAATTTTGGGGTTTTTGTTTTTGGGAAATCTTTTTAAAATCTGGGTGTTTAGGGAAAAATTTTGACAGGGGAAAAATATTTTTTCGTTAGTTAATATTGGATATTTAAAAAATCAAAAGCCAGTTTTCTTGCTTTTGTTTTTCATAGAAAATATAGAGTTTTGTTACTAAAGTCATTTTATTGTAAATAAAGAAAAGTATATGCTTGGCTGAGGAGAAATAAATTACCTATTTGCATGCATGAAACCGCCTCCTTGTCCCACCTTTAATATAAAAAAAACCCAGACTTTATGACATATGTTTGCTTGCTATGATTATATCTTGTAGTTTTGTATTTGGGATAATGTGGATAAATGTATTGAAAATGTATTTGTCCTAAAACTTTACAAACAAATGATATAAGAAACTTTGCATGAAATCATTGATTTATGGAAAATTTTGCATACAGTATATGATTAATAAGAAACTTTGCATTAAAGTCATTGATATATAAGAAACGACATCAAAATGTGAATTTAATATTTAGGTCATTCACGCAAAGGAAATTCACAAGTCTGTAAGCCAAGTTGTATTTTTGTTACATAATGATTTTCGTTCATGTTTTTTTTCTGAGTTTTATTACTTTACAGTTAAATGAATTGTCTGATTTACATTGAATATTTGTCTGTTATATTATTTATTTGTATTTACTTCAAAGATAAATAAAAAATGTTAGTGAAGGTTATTTTTTTTATTTGTTTATCAGAATTCGCCAGGGGTAGGTAGCGATATTGTGTCAAGTGTACAAAACTTAGACTCCTTTAAACGCACTTTGGGTTTATTTAAGCACTATTAACATGCTCTTCCTATTGTCCAACTATAACATCGTATCATTATATTATACAAATATGGACTTTTTAGCTGTTGAATATGATGTGATATGTACTGAAAAAATTAATATTGCCGAGGTCAATATTAATTTTTCAGTACATATCACATCATATTCAACAGCTAAAAAGTACATATCTGTTTTATTATATAATTTATAAATAGCTTTTATATGGCTTATCACATCTGCCATTGCATACGATGGAAATCATTATTTTTCAGCTTGTCTACTGTTTCCATAATTTGGCCCTTTCCATTGGCATGCTAATCCCTATTGTTCTTAGAAATGAAAAACGGTAACTAAAATAGACTTATTTGACTCTTATGTACACCCCACTGAACGTTTTTTTTTTCAGAATAATAACAACAAAATTGGCGTGACGTCACGTCTAAGTCTCGCGTCTTATAGGGATTTCCAGAAAATCTATTTTTAGAAGAAAAACCGGTGAATATTCTCTGAAAATCTATTTTTAGAAGGAAAAAAACAGTGAATATACTCTGATATTGACCTGTTATTTTTTACAAAAAGTTTCTTGTTAGCCAATCAGGGAAAGGCATTTCAAAACTATTTATAAATTATATAATAAACATGTATATTCTATTTATAGCATGTGGATATAATATTACTGTATTCCTTTCTACCTTCTCATTTATACAAAAATATTTTTACATCCATTTTAAACATTATTCTTATTGTAAGAGGACAGTTCGAAGATCTGGTATAGATAAAACAATATAGATGTCATTTTGGGAAAATATGTTTTTGTTTCAATTTGGCAAAGAAAAATATTCCCTTGGAGCATTCAGTCTCAATAGAACAAACAAAATTTGTAAAGGGAGAATACTCTTGATTTTAGTGTGATTATGAAATTTATAAATTGTCTCCCTTACTAATTTAAATCTAGTGAGAAACTGGTTCATCAATACAAATATGAATATTTAATTTATTCATTTACATAAGCAGAAAGGTGAAAGTTTATTGTCATAGTTAAGAAGTGTCATCTTAGATTTGAAATTGACCGATGGTAGATACCTATTTGTAGAATGTTCATTTTCCTGAACACAAATTTCACTGGACATACCATTGCATGAAATAGTGTATTATAGGTTAGTGAACTAGAAGCTGCTTATAATGTATTACCTACATGTATTTGTCAATTAAAGAAAAAAGCAAGAAATTTTACCTAAATATTGAGAAACATGTATTCATTTCCTAATGCATTATGGGTAGAGGTGGTTTCGTTTGGCATCTGGCTGATGCATTCTGGGTATCCTTGTTTCAGAAATTGTCAAACTCTGTAGTGGACAATGACAAGGTAACGTCTGCTGTATATACATGTACATAACTTGGATCTTAATCTGACAGGTCAAGTGGTTTATATTGTAGAACTAATTTTTTTCTTGTGGCAGAAATTATGACAAGTTAATTGTTTTGTTTTTTTGCAATACAAACTATTGTTTCACATTTTTAAACCAGACCCTGCTGAATTGGTAAAATGGACTTGCCCAGCTTTGAATTTGGAACGGTCCAATAAGAATTTTAGGTGTTTCAGCATCAAAATATAAAAAAAATAAGTATCTAAGAGTATAGAATCTTGTTAAACTGCCCCATTATGTTTGGTATTGTTGCAGCCAGTGCTTGAACTTTTGATTTATTTTTAGTTAAAATCATGTATAATGGCAAAGATTTTGTCACCGTCCGACCTGTTAGGTTAAGATCCAGAAATAATTGATCAAAATGTAAAAAAATATTAAAGAAACTTACCCAAATGTACCAATAATAACTGTCTCTTAGAAGTAGTGTGTGTAATGTGTAGTGAGGGATTCTGGGTAATAATGTAGTAGTCGTATAATCTGTTATTTTGTGATTAATTTAGATGTATTTCATTGATGGTTAAAATATAATTATGTATTCTACTTGAATAATCGATAGAACTATTTTTAGCTCGACTGATTGCAGAATACTGAGACTATGCTACTCAATTTTGCATCAGCATTTGTGTCTGGTGTCACACTTGGTTAAGGGTGCATTTCCTTACCTCAATTACCTTTACAGGTTCATTTTGAACCTTCAAACATGTCTGAAGGGACATAATTTTAGGTCATCGACCAAGTACCATAACTCTAGCATCGCTATTGACTGAATTATTCCCCTTTGTATGGTTTTATCTATCTTCCCAGGTGCTGAAAGATATTGGAAACTTCATATATGTCATCAGTTCTGTAATATAAGGTCTTTGACCAAGACCCATAACTCTTTCATGAATTGTCATTGAATTATTTCCCCTTTGTGAATTGAAAATACTTGTGTGGCCCAAGTTAAAGTATAAGGCTTTGAAAATAGTTGAGCAAGCTGTGTCCGTCCAACAGCTCTTGTTGTATAGATATATTTCAGATCATTTATTTGATATATTATCAGGCAAATCTCTGTATATATTTGAAATCGAGTCATTTGAAATAAGTCATCACATTCTGACACTATTTATTTGAAGTTATTTATCGCAATATTATATTGATACAGGAAAAAGAGAATGAATTATTTCATTTGTGATTTATAAAGTTGGCCGTGACTTGGCTGTTTTGTTATCAGTTTAATCAAGTTCCTTGCAATATTTATCATTATTCATCGAAACTAGGGTGCAATTATTATTATTTTAAGTTGCGAAAGAATTGCATCGTCATATAATACTTGTATTATTTTGAAATTATAATGAAATTTCTTTGAAATGAAGAATATAACAATAAACAAAAGTGAACTCTTGATATAAATGAGAATTATATATTTTCATAAGAAGTCATGTGATCTTTAGATTAAATTCCAAGAATGAACTGAATAGCAGTGATACGTTTAAAATTAAAGTTTCACAATCGTCTTTCTTGTAAGTTACGAAAGAAAAACATGTGATTTTTGTTAAACTCCCTTTTCATTGTCCCTATATCCACTTGAAATACTCAAGTACTTCAACAATTAGTTTAAAGTGTATATAAGTACATTTTATTACTATAATTTTGTATATTAATGACTTATATTACATAGAATATAAAGTTCTATTCTATTCTTAGAACCTATTAGTCAATTATTAACACTTAAATGTATAAATGTCTTAATGATGCAATTTTGTCACACATGTTATTTTTGTGTTTCGAAAGTAAAATATTTTGTTGTTTTTATTTTGACAAAATATTAAGGGGTTATAAAATATACTGTTTAGTTTTCATTAAAGCCATTTTATTTTTTTAATATATAAAAAAATAATGTTTCTGTCAAGGGCCGTACTTTTGTTCTGCAAAATGGTACAGGGTACTGTGATGAAACTTACTTGATTATGCAAAGGAAGTGGGTGTAACCATACATGAATATCAGCCCAAAACATTCAAAAAAAAAGAAAAAAAAAAAGAATATAGTTGTTTTTCCTTTAATTATATTTTTTCCTTTAATTCAATTTAAACTCCATATTTAGACATTATTAAAAATGATGTTATTACTTTCTATGTACTAAAATTTTGATAAGACTCTGTCCTGTAACAGAATATCAAATGTTTCTTTGTTATTATCAATGATGGTTTTAATTTTGGACTTATGAACAGGTTTGATGGTATTAAACTTTTTGTAAATTTTATATTATACATAGATATTGACAACATTGCTAAATTCTTCAAGACTGTATGAGTAGGAAAAAAAATGAAAAGCTCATAATTTTACTTTTCTTTTATTTCTTAACAGACTCGTGCAGCATATAAAAAGGTCATGGAGGAGAATGGTGTAAAAGACCCGAACTCTATGGACAAAAATTACTGGATACAGCGAGTTGGAGAGGTAAGGATCACGCTTTAAATTGCCATCTGCACATAGAACATTTTTTTTCACACGGGTGTAATTTGCAAGCTTCTTGCCCCTTTTGGTTGAATAAGGAATGAAAATTTATGAGTAGAATGTAACTGTGACAATGGGGTCAATTGTTCTTGAAAGAAAATAACTGTCACCTTTGGTACAAGCATTTTGGTCTAAAAGGTTAAGCCATTCACCAGCTCAATTTCTTAGAAGTCCAGCAGTGATTTTTGTCGCTTAATTGGGAAAAGGCCTCAGTCTCTTGATTTTGGATAAATTTATAGCTAAAATTGCTTATTTGGGAAGTAAAAATGCAGGTTTAAGTCCCGATTTTTGGGAAAGCTGCTTGTCTGTTATATAAGCAGAAAAATCACTGTCCAGCTTCCATTTTTGGAACTGTTCATTATCAGTATTGGGATATCAAGATGAAAATCTAAAAGTTAAGTCAGGCCAATAGTAAAGAGGATAGTGAGTTGGTACAGGCATGCAGACACCACCTGGCTCTATACTAGTGGTCAAGACTAATCTCTTTCAGTTCCAGCATGTTAATGGTTTTAATTAAAATAACTCAATACCAGTATTGTCTGCGTATATGAAAATTTGACGAGGCTTAAACTTTACGATTACTGTTTTTTGTCTTTCCATTGATTTAACATTGATTTTCAATATATTTTATGGAAGCTGTCTGAAATATTACCTGATTTTATCAGTTTTAACATGAATCATGTCATTTTATTAAGATTTCCCCCCTAGAATGCTACCACTGAAAGTAGGCAGCTTTTGCTGCCATTCTAGAACCTGGTCAGCCTTCTCATTGATGAAATGTGACCAGTCTCAATATTGTTTGCTGAGCAACTTCAAATTACCAAAACGATATCCTAAAATTGATAATGGACTGTTTTATATTTGAAATTGGACAAGTCTATTATAGACCATTCAGCAGGTTAAGGGAGGATTTGTCATATCTCAGTTGACAGTTATCCTGTACTTAGAAATTTGATCAGCTTGATGCCATAGATTTTATAAAAGTACAGGGTAGCAATATTTTCCATGGGATCCACATAAATAGTGTCTCTTCAGTAAGGGCTGTCCTCAGTTTAAGATCGCATTGAGCCCACTTTGATTTTATAAACATGTAATGGCATTTACAACTGAAAGTGATGATTACTTTAAATTTTTACTACTTTATTGTTGGTGTTCGGGGAGGGGTAGGAATAGGGGGATAGATTTGTTATATTGATGAAATTTGATTTGTATTTGCTAACATGTTTTGTGATATATAGAACTTAGGAAATGCTCTGTATTGGCTTATAAGATTTAAACCCTGAACCTGCTGGATTTGTGTAATGGATTCATCCACATTGAATTTGGAACAGTCTATTTGAAGTTTTAGGGATTTCAATATCAAAATATAAAAAATTGAGCTACGAAATGTATAGAACCTGGTCAGACTGCACTATTGAGCTTTGCTGGCCTGGCTCTATACTGGAGTCAAATTCTAATCACTTTTGTGTCCAGCAGGTTACGGGTTTAAGTTTTATTCGTAGAAGAGGAGTGCCGTTTATGTATCTGTCTTGGTCTTATTTGTTTTATTTTCTTCGCATTTATGAAGTGCACCACATACTTTTTTTATAAAAAAATTTATCATTTGCCAGAAATTATTTTATGTTACTTCTTAATTTTTGCCATTATTTTCATTACATTAAAATCAGAAAAAAATGTAAAAATGGAACAATCTTTGTAGTGGCTCTTTAATTGTAAATGAAATACATTAATTATTGATATTTTTTCTAAATTTTGATTTTTATCAGCATTTCGTCACTCTTTTACGGTAAAGTTTTACCTCAAAATTTAACAAGTTGTATCACTAGGTCATAGGTCACATCTATTACAAGGTCAAAAGAAATGTTTGCATTGAATTAGATACTCATTTTGAATTTCTGTAAATTTTTCATATATGTATTTTGGAAACAAGTCTGTATAAACATTGTAAGAATAATAACCTTAACTAGTTTTACATTTTGTTTCAATCTTTTCGTTAATATGATTAAAGAGGGAAGACTGATAACAAAAGTAAAAATTCACAAATAGTCTGACTACAAGATTGTTCTAAAAATAACTCTACCATGTGATTAAGTCATTCAAATTTCATTTCTCACGCTATGAAATCTTCTTTCGCAGCTATAGACAGAATTTCGTCTCTAAGTATGTTGTCCACCATTATGTTTAGTTTACGTTTCTGCTTTAAACTTCTGAAACTGTAAAATCTTGGTATTTATTTGGCACAAAAAAAATGATGGGAGTCGATTTTGGGATATGTTAGAAATGAAAACATCAGTTGGAATGAATTCGTTGAAAACTTTAATTTCTCTATTCAAAGAAATAAATGCCAATGAAATATTTGTACTTGGATTACTTTTCTTGCTGAAAAGAAAAATCCTGTAATCCACCAAATATATTTATGATTTTACAGTTATAGCGCTGGTTATTTTTAGTAACATTTTTAGATGTGACAAACTTTTGTTGTAATCTCACATTTAATCACCAAGCAAACAAAATGTTAACTCTAACTATACAGTAGACTGATATAGTGACAGCTTCTAAGTGCTGGGGACATGGTTCCGAGTCCTGGTCGCATATGATTATACTGAACACTTTCTTGCTTGGCACTGAGCATAATACTATCATTTCAACGAATTCCACAAGTAACTGAGTTGTATAATATTACATAAGCAATAGAACTTCCTTAGATAGATTAGTATAAACTTGTTAAATGCTTTTACAAAGCCAGTAACATTTTACAGTGGTAAATTTACATGTAATATAACATTGAAACGTATGCTGAATGCATAATGAATTTACCCACCTATAAGACTTTTTTCCATCAGGTACTACTTGTACCTTGATGATACACCCTGTCTTATGGGTAGAATAATAAATTCACAGAAAAACATAAATAGGAAAGTCAAAACAGAATACTGGTTATTAAGTTTAAAGTAATTTAGACTTTGGTCTTATATGTGATCTGGCTTATAGCCAAGTAGATGCAATAGTTACTCCATAAATAGGTGGCTAGTTAACATGTTGCTAGTGTATGTAATTGCCTGCTAGACTAAAATACTCATATTAAAGCTTGTTTTATAATCAGAGGCATAAAATGCTTTCATTGGCTTAACAATTTTAACATAAAATTCCTTTAATATATGAACATGTTATTTAGAAAAGCGGATATTAGAAAAGGCGGTGCTTATATAAAACATTAATTGGTCAGTAAGCCAGTACGTTGTATTTTAGAAGTTTTCCAAGAATGAATTTTTTTTTACCTTACATTTTTTTTTGTACTTCATAAAGGAGATCTAGTTTGTTTCACACTTGTTCATGAAATTTTAATTGTTTTATTAATGTGAAAATATCAGCTTTTATCTTTGCTGTTGTTATTTTGTTGTTGTTGTTTTTTTTTATTCTGTTCACATTTACATGATAAGGCATAACAATTATGACACTCTGATATTGCTTAATCGCAAAATGGCATGTGATGTAACTCGATTGATTGTCTAACATTTAGCATTACTTTAATAATTTATGACGGTTTAGAGATGAATGGTTCGTAACATATCAATCACGAATATTAATCACGAAATTGAAAGTACATCAAAAATGGCTAAACGGCCAGGATCAATTTGGATAATTGTTGTGCTACCTATGGGACACAATTTAATTATCGTTGAAAATGATTTTATGAATATTTCATTTAATTAAGGATTATCAAAATGTTATGCTGTTGTGACTATAATTGTAAATAAAGCATTAATAAATTGTGATAGTAGATTTATGATGGATATAATTTATGCATAGTATTACCTTAAGTGATCTTGGCATACATTTTCAAATTATTTTGGGACAAGCCATTTAAAGTACAAGGGATTTTTATATCAAAATACGGATATTTAGCTACAGCCTTGTCAGACTGCATGCATGTGCAAGTTGACCTGGCTCTATACTGGTATTGAGGGTGTACCACTTTCTATTTTGAGCAGTTTAAGTGTTGAATAAATCAGATATATGCAAGTATGATGACAAAGTAGTTTTTATAAAAAGGAACATAAAAAGTGCATCTGAGGAAAATAATAATTTTAAGGAATTTTAGGGCTTTTTTAAAGAAATGTTTTATCAAAAGTAAGTTTTACTGGACAGTGCTTGTTTACTAGGGATAACACTGAAAACTGAAATATTCTTAATACAAAATCTGGTCCTCCTTTATGTGTGATATTTTTCTTACTTTTTTTTTCTGAATATGTTTTGCTATGCGTAAATGTATTTGTTGAATGAATGCTTCCTTGTTGATTTAGTAATTTTTTTTTGTGTTTTCTTTTGTCTTCCGTTCTATTCACTTTCAACAGTTAGTTGTCCTGAAGTGACGGAAAAGTCCAACAATTAGAACTTGAAATGCAGCTAGGGCAAGTCTCGACGATATGGCAAAGGCCTGGCCATAGATAAATATGAATTCCATAACGCGCTAACGAATCATACTGAACGTTTTTGCTCGAACATGCACTTTTATATATTTACATGTCTAATTTTCTTCGAAATTAATTATATGAATTACTAAATAACAAATTAGAATACGTTAATGCATTAAAAGTATTTATTTGTTTAAAAAAGAAAATTGGGTATTACATATTAGATATTTTCATTGTAGATAATATATCAAATTATGTTAAAAATAAATGATACTTTTATATTTAGATTAAAAATTTTGTTGTTTTTCGGAATAACGAAACTTCAAATTGAATATTTTTATAAATGTCAATTATTGATAGGGGTTTAACATTAGCACATTTTTGACCCCAATGAATTAGCGCAGAAAACACTTTTTTCTTTTTTATAATCTTAAAATACATCAATTAAAATTATGTTTCGTTGCAACTCTATTTTTAAATTTGCAATAATTCTACAAGGCTATTTCTCATGCTTTGTATACAGTTTAAGTAAGGAATTTAATATGATATTTGTTATTTTTTTTTTTTAATTATTTTAGCGATTTATATTACTTTTAGAGTTAGTTGATATTCTGAATAACTGTGGTGTAACGATTTAAAACTTTTAAAATTTATCTGTTGATTGCTTCAACTATGATAACTCACATGCAGATAGTTATTTTAAAGTCATGAACTTTATCTCTTTCAAAGCTGTTTCAGAAATTATGCGGGATGAGTTGTGACTCACTTGTGGAGAAATTGGTTATTACCAGTAAGCCTGTTAAGTTAATAGTCACTGACTGTCAAGATATGTGAAAAAAATGTGTTAAAGCTAGTGTAAAAACAAACCAAATAAACATTGTTGAATGACTTACACCTTACATAGATTGGTGCTAAATTTCTCCATCTTTGTACTTTGAACATACACCTATACTTTATTTATTGTTTGAAAATAGTTGTAAAAACCTCTTCTTAGTAGAAAAGGTTAAGTTATTGTTAAACTTACTGCTAAGTTTGAAATCAAACAAATATGAATTAAAAATCATGTGAAAAAGAAGTTGTACTTTCTAGAAATATAGAAAATGGTTTTTGTTTTGTTTTTTGTTGGAAGTACGACATTTTTTCAATTCTATTTTTATTATTATTGTGTATATTAATGTGCTAAATGTATTGTGATATGTAGCCTAGGTGTTTTTCTTTATTCTTTATGGCACAAATATTTCTCTTTTTTTCAAACTGTCTGTGATGTTATTTATAATATGTTAATGTGCATCATTAACATAAGTGGGCGGGGTTGTGGGAGGAGTTATCTCTCATGATTACAGTAAGCATCATCTGGGTTGATTATTTTTAGACTTGTATAAATTTTTACAGCTATTGAAATATTACTTTATTTTAGTGGTATACTGTATAGATAGTCAGATAGAGTTATGTATAAGTAGAATTTAGTTTTCCCGAACCTGCCTGGCTTTGATAAAACTGTGGTGTAAAAGGAATCGTTCAAGTTTTATTTATATCAGATGGTGATTTAAGTTAAAAGTCTGGTAGAGAATTACACAAAAGGTACAGAAATGTGATGAAAATGGATTCATTGAAACCAGCATGTTTTGTTCAAGGTCAAAGCAGGGTTATAGGAGATATTTTTCTCTAGATGTGAATAGTACTCCCTTAAACATGGTTCATTGCTAGATGCACTTTGATTGGCTGTTAATAAAAAGGAAATGTTATGGTACAATAACAACAAAAACTGGTCATAAAAAAGGAAATGTTATGGTCAAATTACAAAATTTGATGAAGCCTTTGAAATGTGATTGCCCATATTAATTTCTAAAAGACGTGATTACCATATGAGCCATGTCACGACAAAACCAACATAATGGGTTTGCGACCATCATGGATCCAGACCAGCCTGTGCATTCGCACAGTCTGATCAGGATCCATACTGTTCGCTATCAGTCTCTCTACTTGTTATAGGGTTTGTAAGCGAACAGCATGGATCCTGACAGACTGCGCGGATGCGCAGGCTGGTCTGGATCCATGCTGGTCGCAAACCTATTATGTTGTTTTTTGTTCTTATGATACGTGTATATTTTTTTTAAATATTTACAAGCTTTCTGATAACATTTCAAAATTTGCATGAATAAATATTATATCTAGTATTAAGTCAGTTAAAACTGAAGGTATTTCTCATCAATGAATTGGTAACCTGCAAACATTACCTAAGTGGACCTAGATTAATCTAGGTATAAAAGGAATAAACAGTTTTAAATATAAATTAAACCCCAGACTTATAATGAATTGAATTTGATAATAAAGAATACTGAAAACAAAAAGTTATTCTTTTTATAAACGAGTTTATAAATCAAATTATAACTTTGGAAATTATCAATACTACAAATAATATGTATTTTTAAAAAAAAATGTGGTTAATTAATTAGCTTGAAAATTAATTTTTTTGTTCATCATAATTTATGATTAAATGATAATTGTTTGTTTGATGAATGGGGCCTTATGTTTTTGTGATCATAATATTTATTATACATTTTTTTTTATTATCTTTTTTTGTTATTTTTTTAGTGATTTCATATTCCAATTTTTACCAAAATGTCCTTGCACAAAATAAAAATCAGTAAAATTTTACTAAATTGTGAATTTGAAATAAACTGTATCAATCTAGAGGGAAGTCAAAATAAATTAATTGTAATAAGATATCTACTTTGAAATGTACTGTATTTTTTCTTATTAATGCACCTGTGCGAATTGTAATAAGTGATCGAAGTGGGTGGGGAAGTGAAAATTAGAACAGGGGAAGTAATAAGAAGAAATATGGTACTCGTAGGTTTTGGAA